AATATAACATTCTGACACTTGGTTATCAGAGCCACTTTCCTTTTCGGACCGCGCATCTCCACACCCTAGGAAATTAACTTTTGTTTTTTCACTCGAAGGGGCTCACGCCCCTTAGCACCTAGGAGCCGTTGTCCTCGCGTTCTCTCGTAAACGCGTGCAGCCACGACTGCGCTTAGACAAAGCTGAGCCGACACCCTTCGCGATGGCCGAACATATCGACGTCACTACGCTCACGCAGGTTTGCCTGAATGAATTGTTGAGCCAACTGCATGAGAATTCAGAAGAAAGTGCGGCGCTGACGGCGGAACGCACGTCCCTGCAAAATGACGTCACACGAGCACAACAAGCACAGTCAAGCTGAGTACAGAAGCGCTGATGATCACAAGGCGCAAGTGCCTTGGTGAAAACATCAGCAGTGTTGGCCTCAGAGGCCACGTACGCAAGCCGCAACTGACCACGCTGCTGTAGCTCACGAGCAAGGAAGTAGCGAAGAGCAATGTGCTTTGTTCAGTGCTCCAGTCTCTGCTCTCGACACAAGGCCAGCATGGCCTTGTTGTCTACGTACAGGATTGGAGGAGAACGAGGCGGCTCTCCAAGGTCGGTCAGCAGGTAGGTGAGCCAGTGAAGCTACTGAGCAGCCATGGCCCTGGCGTAGATCTCGGCCTCACAACTGGAGCCGAGAACAGAAGACGAGCGAGTAGCCCGCCACGAAACAGAGCCGGAACCAAGGCTGAAGGTGTAACCCTGTGACGACCGCTGCGTAGCCTGGTCGTTAGCCCAAGAAGCGTCCGCGTGCCCAGTGCGGACCACTGGACTCTGCCCTCCAAGCACTAGCCCCATGCCCGACGTACTGCACAAGTAGCGCAACACCCTCTTCGCTGCAGCCATGTGCTCTGGTTTGTGTCTCCCAGGAGCAACATAGCGTGCAAGAATGCTAAGAGGGTATGCAAGGTTAGGTTGTGTGTAGGTCATCAGGTACATGAGGCAGCCAACAAGCTCTGGGTACGGGCCACTCGACTCTACGGACTCATCCGAAGGCAGGGCTGAGAGCGAGTGGCGAGTAGGCAGAGGAGTGGCTTGAGGCGAGGAGTACGTGAAGCCGAAGCGCTGAAGGACCTGCTGCACCATGTGTGACTGAGTCAGGGTAATGGTGCGGCGTGCTCTGTCCCGGGTGATCTGCAAGCCAAGGTAGCTGCGCAGATCACCCAGGTCTGTGCACGTGTGTCTCTTCTGCAGCTCGGACTTCACGTGGGCGAGTCGAGCAGTGTCAGCAGTGGCAAAGACCAAGTCGTCGACGTACACGAGGATGTAGAACGGCGACAAAGAGGTGTCGGTGCGTAGAAACAGCGACGGGTCAGCAGTAGAGGGAGCAAACCCAAGATCCACAAGCGTAGTCCTCAGTGTGTCGTGCCACTCGCGCGGTGCCTGGCGGAGACCGTAGACTGGTCGTTGGAGGCTCCACTGGGTGCCAGGAGGGAAATTCCTAGTGAAGCCAGGTGGACGGCGCAGCCAGATCTCCTCGTGCAGGCTACCCTACAGGAAAGCAGTGCTGAAGTCAAGGGAGTGAAGCTCGTAGTCACGCTGAGCGGCTATGTGTAGCAGCACCCGAAGAGTGGTCATCTTCGGGGTGGGAGAGAAGGTCTGAAAGTAGTCAACTTCCTGCCGCTGACTGAAGCCACGAGCCACGTACCGCACCTTGAAGACAGGCGGAGAGCCCGGCGGCCGCTTCACCCTGAAGATCCACATGCCACTGACGATGTTCGCCCCAGGTGGGGGAACCGCGTCAACGTAGGTGCCTGTGGACTTCCAGGAAGCCATCTCTGCATCCATAGCTGCCTGCCACTGAGAGGAGTAGGGACCCTCTACGGCCTCTGCGTAAGAGCGCGGAGTCGGGATGTCAAGTGCATCCGGGTCTCCCTCAGGGGTAAGCAATACGGAGACGAGATGAGGTGAAGCAGCAGCCAGACACTGGAACTCCTCCTGCCTGTCTTCAAGGACGTCCGTGCCAAGAGCACACTCACCCCCGACGGACGGAAGACAGACAGACGCAGACTCAGCAACGAGACTAGCAGCGTTGTCTAGACGATAGCGAGCAGCAAAGTCGACGAGCTCAGCAACAAGAACAGACGCAGTAGTGGACGCAAAAGAGGGGTCAGTGACGACAGTAGCAAGGAGAAGAATAAGCCAGCCTGTCTTCTCTGTCGGATGAGCCTGGCTATGTGTGTCTTCCTCTTGTAGCTGCGTGGCTCTGATCCCTTCGTTACGTGATACCCGCATATCAGCAAGCACAGTGAATAAAGCAATGTTCTCTTTATGTGTCCTACCGTATTCTCCCGGACATAACACCCTAGGGTATAGCTAAAAATACAGGGAAAATTTGGGGGGGGGGGGGGGGGGGTCTCTTCATAGGAAAAAAATACATAATACCCGGATCTTTACATATGGCATATTTTAGTGTTAGTGTTTTTTTAATTAGTCAATGTGGGTGTTTTGCTGGTCGTTTTAGCATCATTGCCTGAGGCGCGAATGTGAGTTTCGGCCTCGAACTTCATCGCCCTCACGAAAATGCCATGTGGCACCTCTCTTGCCACTTGCAATGGAAGATTCACCTGCACGTGGCAACAGAGAAATAGTGGGAGGGGGCAAATCTCGGCAGATTGCCTTTGAATGTACCGCAAAATTTCATTGAGGGAGAAATTCACACGATATTCTTCCCTATTGCAGCTACTCGTTAACGACTATAATAATGAATCCGCAAGAAAAGGGGGGTGTTATTGAAAATCAGCCAAAAAGGGGGGTATAGTAGAAGCGAGGTCTATCATAACACCCACCCCGCACAAGCTACCCGGGGGTGTACAATTATGGGGGGTGTTTTGTCCGGGAGTATACGGTATCTATAAGGATCAGTCTTTAACCGGCAGAGAAATCAAGCCCGCTTGTCTGCCCTGTCGAATTAGCTTGGCTACGTGCATCTTCCGCTTGTAGCTGCGTGGCTCTGACCCCTTCATTAGGTGATACTCGCAGATCAGCGCTGCTGGCTCTAGCAATCCCTGTAGGCGTGGGAAGGGAAGGGAAGATAGAAACGTGGAGCTGGAATTGTCTTGGAAAAGATGAGACACTGTGTGGCTCTGACCCCTTCATTAGGTGATACTCGCAGATCAGCGCTGCTGGCTCAAGCAGTCCCTGCATGTGACAGAAGGGAAGATTAAAAAAAGGTGCTGAAATCGTATCAAACCTGCATGTACGGTAACAGGTGTGATACCGATGGTCAATGCAAAGATTATGTGTACAGTAAAAGGACACTTACAGTGTACTTATTCGTGTGCATAACAGAAGCGTTTAGATCCACTCCCCCTCGGAACGGAATGGCAGAGTAATGCTCTGCCATGGCTTGCACCTGAGAGGGTGGACCAGAAGCGGCAGGAAGAGAAGGATGAGAGAAACGGAATGGCAGAGTAATTCTCTGCCATGGCTTGCACCTGAGAGGGTGGATAAGAGGCGGTAGGAACAGACGTAAGAGATGAAGGAAATGGCACAGTAAATATCTGCAATGGGTTGACTTGAAAGTGGTTGAGTGATTAGGTGGGAAGCAAGGAGGAGAGGGAGGAGAGTAAGCTCCTGGCCACAGCACGTGGCACCAAGCTACTGGCCAGTCTATGAGACATAAGGAATCGCTCACCTGTTGAGGGTCAAACATCACTCGCCGCATGTGTGCCTCTCCAAGGCACATGTTGGGGTCTCCTGAGAACAGCGGCTCCGATGGCCCCTCCGTTACAGCCTTTTGAGACATCTCAGTCTGTGACAGTCTCAAAGGGGCTCACCTGGCGAGGGTCGAACATAACTCGCCGCATGCCCGCCTCTCCCAGGCACATGTTGGGATCTCCCGAAAACAGCGGCTCGGATGGCCCCTCCGTTACAGTCACACTCGCATTTGCACCACCTGCTGCTGCTGCTGCTGCGTCTGCTAGCTGGCTGTTGGTGGCGTTGCCAGTGGTGTTGGCAGAGGTTCCATTCAAATCAAGAGGTGGAGGAGGGGGAGGAGGAGGTGTGGTGATGATTGTGGGGGTGATGGTAGGGGTAATGGCGGCGCTGTTGGGACGGCATGTGGGGTGGACGGATCGGAACACCATGCGCTGCTGTAGCCAGTGGTCGGGTGCTGCGGTTAAGACAGAGGGGAGGGGGGAAAGAATAGAATAAAGAGCAGAGGCAGAAGAGGGCTGTGGGGCGGGTCCTACTGGTATGGCATGTGGGATGGACTGATATGAAAACCATGCGCTGCTGTAGCCAGTAGTCGGGCGCTGTGATTTTTTAGAATTCTCAAAAGTTGCTGTAGCCAGTGGTCAGGCTTTTGAGACGTCTCAAAGGTCAAAAATTGCTGTAGCCAGTGGTCGGGCGCTGTGGTTAGGACAGAGGGGAGGGGGAGAGAATAAAGATTAGAGGCAGAGGAGGGCTGTGAGGACCCAAATGTGGCGGAGAGGGAGGAAAGGGACAGACCCACACTGTGTGACTCGCAGCCACCAACCAACATGCGACTCTCTCACACCCACCAACCAACATGCGACTCTCTCACACCCACCAACCAACATGCGACTCTCTCACACCCACCAACCAACATGCGACTCTCTCACACCCACCAACCAACATGCGACTCTCTCACACCCACCAACCAACATGCGTCTACCTCTATCTCTCTGGGACTGATAGAATACCTGTGATGGGCAGGCAGAGCTCGACGTGCCAGGAGTAGGAGCCCATTGACAGCCAGGGGCGGGCGGCATGGTAGATTAGGTGGATGGAGAGGCGGAAGGAAGGCGACGGAAGGGAAAGGACCTGTTGGGTTGACTTCAAATCATACATGTGATGGGCAGGCAGAGCTCGATGTGCCAGGAATAGGAGCCCATGGAGAGCCAGGGGCGGGCGGCATGATAAGCAAGCAGCGTGGAGAGGCGGAAAGGAAGGAGAGGGTCCATACTGGGTGGCTCACACGCCCACCCACATACCTGTGATGGGCAGGCACAGCTCAATGTGCCAGGAATACGACCCCATGGAGAGCCAGGGACGGCCGGCATGATAAGCAAGCAGCGTGGAGAGGCGAAAGGGGCCGACGACGTGAGGCAGCTCGTCAAATGCGAGTGAGATGACCCACTCGGAGGTGAAGCGCGTGCGGTAGAGACAGTCGTTCATTGTGATGACGTTGTGACGGGCTGGCAAACTGGAGGAAGAAACGGTGGGGAGAAGGGGTGGGGACGAAAGGAAGAAGGGGGGGGGGGTTGAGAAAGGGTGCAACGACCCACTGGGAGGTGAAGCGCGTGCGCGTGCAGTAAAGACAGTCGTTCATTGTGATGACGTTGTGACGCGCTGGTCAACTGTCATCTGTGAACCTGGACACAGCATCCCGCAGGTGACAGGACAGGAGAACCCAATCAAGTCAACCCTAGTCAACCAAAGTCAATGTCTCAGACATACTCAGCAAGTCCTCGCAGGTCCACCACCTGCAGCATGTCCGCTTCCGTAAACCTCGACACGGCATACCGTAGGCGATTCGTGAACCCCAGTCAATTCAGGTCGACCCAAGTCAACCCAAGTCAACCGCATTCAACACCCCATACTCACTCTGCTAGCCCTCGCAGGTCCACCACCTGCAGCATGTCCGCTTCCGTAAACCTCGACACGGCATCCATTAAGCCATTTGAGAAACCCAAGACAACACAAGTCAGCCCGAAGTCAACCCAAGTCAGCCCGAGTCAAGCAAGGTCAACCGGAGTCAACAGACTTACTCAGCAAGTCCTCGCAGGTCCACCACCTGCAGCATGTCCGCTTCTGTAAACCTCGACACAGCATCCCGTAGGCGTTTCCTGAACCCCAGTCAATTCAGGTCGACCCAAGTCAACCCAAGTCAACCGCATTCAACACCCCATACTCACTCTGCTAGCCCTCGCAGGTCCACCACCTGCAGCATGTCCGCTTCCATAAACCTCGACACGGCATCCCGTAAGCGATCTGTGAACCCCAAGACACCCAAGTCAACCAAAGTCAATCAGAGTCAACAGACTTACTCAGCTAGCCCTCGCAGGTCCACCACCTGCAGCTTCCGTAAACCTCGACACGGCATCCCGTAAGCCATTTGAGAAACCCAAGACAACACAAGTCAGCCCGAAGTCAACCCAAGTCAGCCCGAGTCAAGCGAGGTCAACCAGAGTCAACAGACTTACTCAGCAAGTCCTCGCAAGTCCACCACCTGCAGCATGTCTGCTTCTGTAAACCTCGACACAGCATCCCGTAGGCGATCCGAGAACCCCCCACCGTCATAGAAAATAAAGTCATCAGCTCCAAAGAACAGCAGGTACTGCATGTGCTCGAGGACTCGCGCTGGGGTGTGCTGTGAGGGGGGTAGTGGGTGGGAGGGGGGAGCGGTAGAGGATGGGCGTGGAGAAGATGAAATCGCCTGCTCCAAAGAACAGCCGGTACTGCATGTGCTCGAGGACTCGCGCTGGAGTGTGCTGTCTGAAGGTTAGCAGGGGCATGAGGACGACAGATGTTTTGAGACGTCTCAAAAAGAGGAGTGTTTTGAGACGTCTCAAAAAGAGGAGTGTTTTGAGACGTCTCAAAAAGAGGAGTGTTTTGAGACGTCTCAAAAAGAGGAGTGTTTTGAGACGTCTCAAAAAGAGGAGTGCTTTGAGACGTCTCAAATCAGTGTGCTGCCTGAAGGTTAGCAGGGGCATGAGGACGACAGATGTTTTGAGACGTCTCAAATCAGTGTGCTGTCTAAAGGTTAGCAGGGGCATGAGGACGACAGAGAGGGCGAGTGTTGAGAGCAAGAGAGGGAGAGAGAGCTCATCTAAGCAGCACAGCACCCACCTCCTCAAAACCATTCACTTCAGCAGCAAAGCCCTCACCTCCCGGTCAATGAGCAGCGAGCAGAAGGAGGTGCGGTGCGGCAGCGTTTTCCAAGGCACGTTGAAAATCCTTTTGAGTTGACTTAAAGAGGTGCCTCAATGGTCGCCATGAGCCCTCACCTCGCGGTCAATGAGCAGCGAGCAGAAGGAGATGTGGTGTGGCAGCGGCCGCGGCGGGTTGAGAATCCGCTTAGCAGCAGCAGCCCTCTCCTCCTCCGCCTCCCCCACAGCAGCAGCAGCAGCGGCAGTAGAAGCAGAGGGAGCGGGTCTGAGGTCGTCCTCCCGGTACACGAGCATATCCCTCCCTGAGATGTGGTAGAACAGAGCACCACCTGCGGGTGGGGGGACGGGAATTGAAGGGGCAGGTGGGGCAGCCGATTCAATCTACGACTACCAAACCCCTTGCGCCCATACCATACTTTTGAGCCGACTCCGAAAGCACAGATGCGCCATGTGTGCATGTGTGCTACCATATTCCATCCATTCACCAGGGTGGGCTGGGGTGCGCTTATCGAGGTTGCAGCGGATGACAATGGTCTCATACGGCATGCCCCCATGGTCGCCCGAAAACAGATACTCCAAGCTGCCCTTGATGGTGTGCGGCCCCTCATACGACACCCACACGCACCCTCCGCCCACATCACATCCCACCATGTGGCATGTTCCATTCTAGCCCAGACCAAACCACTGACGTGCACACACACAATACAGGCCACAGCGTGTGCTCCCATACCGAAGGAAACAGCACAGCTGCTCACCAGGGTCGGCTGGGGTGCGCTTGTCTAGATTGCAGCGAATGACGATGGTCTCATAGGGCATGCCCCCATGGTCGCCCGGAAACAGATACTCCAAGCTGCCCTTGATGGTGTGCGGCCCCTCATACGACACCCACACACACCCTCCGCCCACATCCTCCTCCCCTCCCTGCTCCGAGGACGAACGTGGGCCGTTGGATTGGGGTGAGTGCCACTGGGAGCGCATCCCGCGGGCGGAAAGGCCTATGACTGCGAAATCGAGAGGGCTGACGCGGTGGGCGGAGATGAAGACGAAGGTGTTCACGCCGTGCGGGGTGAACCGACCTGGCAGTGGGTTGAGGTTTTGTGGGAGGGCAGCGGGGGCATTGGAAGGGCAGGGGGGCATCAAGAGCGCATGGAGCGGGGTGAGAGGCCGATGACGGCGAAGTCGAGAGGTCTGACGCGGTGTGCTGAGATGAAGACGAAGGTGTTGACGCCGTGGGGGGTGAATTGCCCTGGTGTTGGTTTGGTTGTTGGGGGAGAAGGATGGGACAGTGGTAGTGGTGGTGGTAGATGGGGAGGTATTGGGGGACGGGGCGGGGCGGGCACTGAGCAGAGCAGAGGGGGCACTGCGGAAAGGGCGCGGGGGTTGATGATGATAGGGTGAGCGGGGGTGAAGAGCGAAGGAGGTTGGGAAGGGAGGGCAGGAAGGGACAAGGCAGAAACTGGGTCTGAGTGTTCCAGAAGAGACAGCATACACGGGGAAAAGCAGTGGCATGAGAAAAAGCGGTGGCCAGCAAGTGATGCAAATTCTCAAGGTAAATACTGCGAGTGGGGTTTTTAAGAGGGTGAGTAACCTACCCCATTCTGGATTGGACGGCCGATACGGCAACTTCATGAGGTTCTGACACGTGTCAGTCATGAAAGTCCTGTTTACGTTTCTGATGGAGACGGACTTATAGTAGACGTTATAATGAAGGAACGGAGCCAGCCATCCAAAGCACCATCTCAGTAGTATCACCCCTAATACAGTCAACAGAATGTAACGGAACAAGGTTTGCCCGTCCTTGGATCCTCCCCACTGCATCGCACGGCTGAGAGCCAACCGAAAGGACCGAATCGACGGTCGTCGGAGGAGCTTGACGTACACGTCCATGACAAGGGAAGGGACTCTTTCGACCCTTCCCCGACCCTTCCCAGAGCGGGACCGCGCTTTCGGAGCCAGCGCATCGACTTTCTTAACAGACTAAGTAACTTTACCTATTCCCGGAGTTAGCTTTACAACAACCCTAATTGGCGTGAATCCGCAAAAAGCTTCTCCTTGACGGCCTACGGAAAGAGCGGTGGTATCCTTCTAAGGCCGAAGCAACCTCGAACTGCTTTTTCAGTCACTGCGCGGCTTGCTGTAGCGACGTCATTTGTAGGTGGCTATATGGCATAAATGCGATGACTATGCGGGGAGAGAAATGCGGGCCTATCCGTGGAGGCGAGTAAGGAGAAGAGAGAATCCAGCTCCTAAATTCACGAACACGTCGCTTGCTTGTGAATGCCTTGGGCTAACTCATGGAGGGTCACCTCGCCTGACTCGTGAAAGCAGAGCAGATTGGGTGGAACAGAATCGGAGTGGGGAACTCGAAGAAAGAAAGTGAAATTGGCGACCACGGGTCGTTCAATGCGGTTCACTACTCTTTTCACCTGGTAGACAGCGGTTACCATGTTTCCACACAGTAAACATTTGCAATAGAGGTTTGGTAGGTGAACATGGCCAATAATGCGGGAGATAAGCTGTCGACAGAGGCTTGTAGATTGCCGCGAGTGATTCGCTACCGAAGCATAAGTTTCATCTGTATGCGAAATAGGCAACGAAAGACACGAACTTAGGCGATCTCGGAGCTTGAGATTTGTCCTCGTGACGCTTCCTCTGCCTTTCGACCAGCAAGGTAACGAGGACCGTTCGTCTGGTAACATCTCGCTGAGGATGTCGTGAATCTGTGGGTCTGAACATGGCAACACTGCACCTCGAAAATTCGCTGAATTCCACCTCGAGAACTCCCCCACGCTGCAGCCTCGGGAACTCCGCCTCCACCCCAACCTCAGCCCAGGTTCCAGATTGGCATGCGTGATTTGTTGTCAAGTGTGGATTTCGCATCCCATTTGTGCATCTTTATCATCCGTCCATACAGGAACAGGCGAATCTGGTCCGTCTGTCAGGTATCCGTTAGTGACAATTACGAAAGGGTCTCTGCTGCAGCAGCAGGTGGAAAGAGGTAGGGCACTACCTGTTCCATCAAAACGATCGTCGGTTCCTTACGCCTCGGAATTCACTTTGCCTGGCTGGATTCATTGATGTCTGTCATGGCTGTCACGGCTGTGATACCTGTCATGCCTGTACAGCCTCATCCAATACTACTGATACCCCAACGAACCAATCATGGCGAAGACAAGTGTGCGATGACGCCGTTACCGGCATCACTTGGCTTTCCCACCTGACGGCTACTAGTAGTACGCGGATTTCTCCTCGAAAATTCCGTCACGAGTAGTACGCGTACTTGTCCGCGTAGTACGCGGATTTCTCCTCGAAAATTCCGTCACGAGTGACGCCATGTGACGTGTCATGTCTACTGAACGACACATGCTCATTACTCGCTGTCACTGTGCGACCCGTGTGATTCATGCGAGCTGGAAATCGAGCCGTCGCTCGCTTGTTACTGTCGCAGGACTGCAAACAGTGAGAAGGAAGGAAAGCCGTCGTGGTTCAGTCTTGCTGAACCGTATCCAGTCGAAGGAACGCTTCAGCCATTGCCTTCCTTCCTCTTGAGCCGCGACTAGCCGTGCGGCAAGATTGCTGAATGTACGAACCTGCTCTCTAGGCAAATCCATAAACACTTTTTTGAGCTTAGCACGCCTGATTCTAGGTGCTCAACTTTTCATTCTTCTCCTTCGCAACATAAGTCCCTGCTGCTGAGATTCAAAGACCCACCACACTGGAGTCGTCCTCCCAAACTCCTCGTTTTGCTTGACTTGGGATGCGCTACCTGCAGTTATCACACTGAAAAGGGTCAAACGAGGGTCAATGAGGCCAGTGACGTCATTCATGCTCAACCTGCCTGTTCTAACCTGCTGTGTTCTAGGAGCACTTTCCGTGCTTTCCTCCTCCCATGAGATTTCTGAGAATTCTAAGAACGGCCTGATCACCTCCTCCCTGATTCAAGCTTCCTCTACTGGTGCTACTGGCAGTAGTGATGCATCCCGCATCCCCCTCCTCCACCACTCCTCCCGCTCTCTGCTTCAGCTGCGCCACTGTGCCGCCCAGGCCTGTCCGCCCTACCTCTGCTGCTCCTCCTCCTTCGGCTGTGGCCTCGGCTCCGCCTGCCTCACTGACTGCCTCTCCGGCCCCTGCGAAACCGCTGGTAACACGGTTACCAGTAACAGCGTCACTGGTAACAGTGCTGCTGGTACTGGTAACACTGTAGATGGTGCCACTGCTGATGGTAGTACCACTGGTGGTGGTGGTAACCCTAGGGGGCCTCGGTTACAACCCCCTGTGTGCTGCACCGCTGCTGCCTGTGACCTTGCTCCTATTATGTGTGGTTCAGGGTGCATCTCAGGTCCCTGCTTCCCACGTGACTATGTTCGCAGCAGAGTGGCAGACCTTCGGAACCGGAGAAACAGCAGCAGTAGTGGAGGAATAGGGGCTGGTTCTAGTGGCAGTGAGAGCATGGTTAACGGTACCAGCAGTAGCAGCAGCGGCAGCAGCAGTGGCAGCAGCAGTGTGAGTGACCCTGGCAGTAACAGCAGCAGCGATTTCAGTGCTAGCGGCAATGTTACAGGTGGCGATGGTGTTGCAGGTAGTATCAACGCTACAAACGGTGGCGATTTAAGCACTGGTAGCAGCAATAGCAGCAGGAGCGAGGCCAGCAGCAGCAGCAGTAGAGATGGTAGTGGCAGCAGCAGGAGCAGTGACAGTGACAGCAGTGGCAGCAGCAGCAGTACCAGTAGCGTTGGTGCAGTGTCAGTGGGTGTATTAGCCATTGTGGTTGTTGGCAGCGTCTTCTCTTCTCTCTTCCTGCTTCAAGTCGTGTTCCTCTGCCTGCGGTATCAGCAGAAGCAGAGGGAGAGGAGGAAGCACGAGGAGGAGGAGGATAGACAGGGAGGATCAAACACAAGAGAAAGAGGACGGCCGTGGCAGAAGCCGAGTCAGCACTGGTGGCCATGGGCGAGAAACAGGACAATTCATGCCGACCCGGAGTCTGCTTTTCAGCAGCACCGCAATCACACTAACCGCAGCAAGCTCTCACTGACCTTGGTCTCTTCTCCCCCCGATGCTCCTCGCCGCTTCACCTTTTCTCAGCTACACAGGGCAACGGATGGGTTCTCTGTGGACAATAAAATAGGAGAGGGGGCATTTGGGACAGTCTACCGTGCACTTGCTATTCCTGTTGCTGATTTACTAGGCGCCACGTCAGGAAGAAGGAGAGGAAGGAACACAAAAGCTTCTGGGAAGGGGGTGGAAGGAGGTGGGGTGCGGAATGAGGAGTTGTGGGCGGTGAAGAGGGCGAAGAGAGGGAGCATGGGACCAGGAGGGGCGTTCGAGCGAGAGGTGAGCTAGTGGGTTTGGTATACCTCACGTCACTGCGTCTCAATGTTAAGTATCATCTCACTCTTGGTCTCGTGACTAGCTTCCAGAAAAGATCTGATCGCAGCAAAGCAGCTTCTGTGGACGTGGTACTGTTCCAAATGCGGCTCCATGCCATTTCAAATAAGCCCATGCGGTTCCGCCCGTCCATCAGGTGCGGACCATCTGGCGTTTGAACCGCCGCAGTCTGGTGTCGGTCATTGGCTGGTGTGCAGAGCAAGGGGAGCAGCTGCTGGTGTACGAGCTCGTTTCCAATGTTTCATGTGCGGTTCAATGCGGTTTCCTCCACCACCAGGTGCGGACCATCTGGCGTTTGAACCACCGCAGTCTGGTGTCGCTCATCGGGTGGTGCGCAGAGCAAGGCGAGCAGCTGCTGGTGTACGAGCTCGTTTCCAATGTTTCATGTGCGGTTCAATGCGGTTCCCCCCACCACCAGGTGCGGACCATCTGGCGTTTGAACCACCGCAGTCTGGTGTCGCTCATTGGGTGGTGCGCAGAGCAAGGCGAGCAGCTGTTAGTGTACGAGTTTGTGCCCAACGGCAACCTCTATGAGGCTCTGCACGGTGCGTACTGGCTTAAAAGTGCAGGAAGTGTGTGGGAGAGGAAGTGCGTGTGTGATGGGGATGGAAGTGCATCAAAGGCTGGTGTGCAGAGCAAGGGGAGCAGCTGCTGGTGTACGGGTTTGTGCCCAACGGCAACCTCTATGAGGCTCTGCACAGTATGTGCTGGCTCAGAGGTGAAGGAAGTGCGTGCAATGAGTATGGCAGTGTGATTGCTGTGATGTGCGATTGCTACATGTGGGTGTGTGCGAGTGTGCAGCCCCCCACTGGATCTCCAAGGGCCTGAAGCACCAGATTCTGTTCAAGTTTTGAGACGTCCCAAAACGTGATTTGAGATTGGTATGTGGGCGTGAGCGAGGGAGCAGCCTCACTTGGTCTCCCCGGGGTCTGAAGAGCCACACTCCTCTTCATTCCATCCCTCCCCTTCAACCAATCCCACATCCCCCTCTTCCTCATCCCCGCCCACACAGACCTCTCCCGGGCCCCACTTTCCTTTCTCCAACGAGTGCACGTTGCCCTGGGCGTTGCACGCGCACTGCACTACATACACGAGCAGGTCAGCTTGTGCTGAGCGAGCATTTCAGCCTACCTTTCTTTCCTTTGACTCGACTCAATATCACCTCGGTATTGCCTTTCCGGTGCGCTGCTCTACTTACACGAACAGGTCAGCTTCTGCTGAGTCCGTTTAAGTCGATTCAAATTTCAGCTCGGCCCCTCTTCAAATTTCAGCTTCTGTTGTTCCTCTCCTCGTTTGCAGGCACGGGACCGCATGCTTCACAGAGACGTCAAGTCCCTCAACATACTTCTGACAGCCGATCTGCAGGTGAGACGCTGCAGAGCAGATGCATAGTTTGCAGATGTCTCAGAAGATGCTTCACCGAGATCTCATGTCGCTGCTCAGCATACTCCTCACTGCAAAACCGCGGAGGAGACACTAGACACTGCGGAGCTGCAGGTCTTGCACGGTAGTCTATAGGCGGCACTCTTGTGCAGAGATCGCTGCCCGCTTTTGCTCCCTGGCCCCCTGCCCTTTCCCCACCTGCCCACTCCTGCCTTGTCCCCTTGACCCGCTGCCCACTCCTGCCTTGTCCCCTTGACCCGCTGCCCACTCCTGCCTTGTCCCCTTGACCCGCTGCCCACTCCTGCCTTGTCCCCTTGACCCCCTGCCCACTCCTGCCTTGTCCCCTTGACCCCCTGCCCACTCCTGCCTTGTCCCCTTGACCCCCTGCCCACTCCTGCCTTGTCCCCTTGACCCCCTGCCCACTCCTGCCTTGTCCCCTTGACCCCCCTGCCCACTCCTGCCTTGTCCCCTTGACCCCCTGCCCACTCCTGCCTTGTCCCCTTGACCCCCTGCCCACTCCTGCCTTGTCCCCTTGACCCCCTGCCCACTCCTGCCTTGTCCCCTTGACCCCCTGCCCACTCCTGCCTTGTCCCCTTGACCCCCTGCCCACTCCTGCCTTGTCCCCTTGACCCGCTGCCCACTCCTGCCTTGTCCCCTTGACCCCCTGCCCACTCCTGCCTTGTCCCCTTGACCCCCTGCCCACTCCTGCCTTGTCCCCTTGACCCCCTGCCCACTCCTGCCTTGTCCCCTTGACCCCCTGCCCACTCCTGCCTTGTCCCCTTGACCCCCTGCCCACTCCTGCCTTGTCCCCTTGACCCCCTGCCCACTCCTGCCTTGTCCCCTTGACCCCCTGCCCACTCCTGCCTTGTCCCCTTGACCCGCTGCCCACTCCTGCCTTGTCCCCTTGACCCCTGCCCACTCCTGCCTTGTCCCCTTGACCCCCTGCCCACTCCTGCCTTGTCCCCTTGACCCCCTGCCCACTCCTGCCTTGTCCCCTTGACCCCCTGCCCACTCCTGCCTTGTCCCCTTGACCCCCTGCCCACTCCTGCCTTGTCCCCTTGACCCCCTGCCCACTCCTGCCTTGTCCCCTTGACCCCCTGCCCACTCCTGCCTTGTCCCCTTGACCCCCTGCCCACTCCTGCCTTGTCCCCTTGACCCCCTGCCCACTCCTGCCTTGTCCCCTTGACCCCCTGCCCACTCCTGCCTTGTCCCCTTGACCCCCTGCCCACTCCTGCCTTGTCCCCTTGACCCCCTGCCCACTCCTGCCTTGTCCCCTTGACCCCCTGCCCACTCCTGCCTTGTCCCCTTGACCCCCTGCCCACTCCTGCCTTGTCCCCTTGACCCCCTGCCCACTCCTGCCTTGTCCCCTTGACCCCCTGCCCACTCCTGCCTTGTCCCCTTGACCCCCTGCCCACTCCTGCCTTGTCCCCTTGACCCCCTGCCCACTCCTGCCTTGTCCCCTTGACCCCTGCCCACTCCTGCCTTGTCCCCTTGACCCCCTGCCCACTCCTGCCTTGTCCCCTTGACCCCCTGCCCACTCCTGCCTTGTCCCCTTGACCCCCTGCCCACTCCTGCCTTGTCCCCTTGACCCCCTGCCCACTCCTGCCTTGTCCCCTTGACCCCCTGCCCACTCCTGCCTTGTCCCCTTGACCCCCTGCCCACTCCTGCCTTGTCCCCTTGACCCCCTGCCCACTCCTGCCTTGTCCCCTTGACCCCCTGCCCACTCCTGCCTTGTCCCCTTGACCCCCTGCCCACTCCTGCCTTGTCCCCTTGACCCCCTGCCCACTCCTGCCTTGTCCCCTTGACCCCCTGCCCACTCCTGCCTTGTCCCCTTGACCCCCTGCCCACTCCTGCCTTGTCCCCTTGACCCCCTGCCCACTCCTGCCTTGTCCCCTTGACCCCCTGCCCACTCCTGCCTTGTCCCCTTGACCCCCTGCCCACTCCTGCCTTGTCCCCTTGACCCCCTGCCCACTCCTGCCTTGTCCCCTTGACCCCCTGCCCACTCCTGCCTTGTCCCCTTGACCCCCTGCCCACTCCTGCCTTGTCCCCTTGACCCCCTGCCCACTCCTGCCTTGTCCCCTTGACCCCCTGCCCACTCCTGCCTTGTCCCCTTGACCCCCTGCCCACTCCTGCCTTGTCCCCTTGACCCCCTGCCCACTCCTGCCTTGTCCCCTTGACCCCCTGCCCACTCCTGCCTTGTCCCCTTGACCCCCTGCCCACTCCTGCCTTGTCCCCTTGACCCCCTGCCCACTCCTGCCTTGTCCCCTTGACCCCCTGCCCACTCCTGCCTTGTCCCCTTGACCCCCTGCCCACTCCTGCCTTGTCCCCTTGACCCCCTGCCCACTCCTGCCTTGTCCCCTTGACCCCCTGCCCACTCCTGCCTTGTCCCCTTGACCCCCTGCCCACTCCTGCCTTGTCCCCTTGACCCCCTGCCCACTCCTGCCTTGTCCCCTTGACCCCCTGCCCACTCCTGCCTTGTCCCCTTGACCCCCTGCCCACTCCTGCCTTGTCCCCTTGACCCCCTGCCCACTCCTGCCTTGTCCCCTTGACCCCCTGCCCACTCCTGCCTTGTCCCCTTGACCCCCTGCCCACTCCTGCCTTGTCCCCTTGACCCCCTGCCCACTCCTGCCTTGTCCCCTTGACCCCCTGCCCACTCCTGCCTTGTCCCCTTGACCCCCTGCCCACTCCTGCCTTGTCCCCTTGACCCCCTGCCCACTCCTGCCTTGTCCCCTTGACCCCCTGCCCACTCCTGCCTTGTCCCCTTGACCCCCTGCCCACTCCTGCCTTGTCCCCTTGACCCCCTGCCCACTCCTGCCTTGTCCCCTTGACCCCCTGCCCACTCCTGCCTTGTCCCCTTGACCCCCTGCCCACTCCTGCCTTGTCCCCTTGACCCCCTGCCCACTCCTGCCTTGTCCCCTTGACCCCCTGCCCACTCCTGCCTTGTCCCCTTGACCCCCTGCCCACTCCTGCCTTGTCCCCTTGACCCCTGCCCACTCCTGCCTTGTCCCCTTGACCCGCTGCCCACTCCTGCCTTGTCCCCTTGACCCCCTGCCCACTCCTGCCTTGTCCCCTTGACCCCCTGCCCACTCCTGCCTTGTCCCCTTGACCCCCTGCCCACTCCTGCCTTGTCCCCTTGACCCCCTGCCCACTCCTGCCTTGTCCCCTTGACCCGCTGCCCACTCCTGCCTTGTCCCCTTGACCCCCTGCCCACTCCTGCCTTGTCCCCTTGACCCGCTGCCCACTCCTGCCTTGTCCCCTTGACCCCCTGCCCACTCCTGCCTTGTCCCCTTGACCCGCTGCCCACTCCTGCCTTGTCCCCTTGACCCCCTGCCCACTCCTGCCTTGTCCCCTTGACCCCCTGCCCACTCCTGCCTTGTCCCCTCCCTCCCATGAGCCCAAGCTGTCTGACTTTGGGCTTCCCCGCATGGTGGAAGGCGGGGAAGCGAGCTTCTTCACCCATGGGCTGTCAGGCACGAGGGGCTATCTGGAGTGATGATGCCTGGGTGTACGACCCCCCTGCTCCCTTCGTCCCTTCTTTACCCCATCAGCCCAAGCTGGCTGACTTTGGCCTCTCCCGCATGCTGGAAGGAGGGCAAGCGAGTTTCTTCACACATGGGTTGTCAGGCACGAGGGGCTATCTGGATCCTGAGTTCATTACCACACACCGGGCCTCCACCAAGACAGACGTTTACAGGTCAGCTCCTCCTCTCTGTCCCTGTCTTGTGTGTGGACTGATTGATTGTTGTGCCTCTGGAGGTCACGACAAAGGGCTATCTGGATCCTGAGTTCATCACCACACACCGCACCTCCACCAAGACAGACGTTTACAGGTCAGTGGACCTTGCCTCGTGTTACGGGTCAGTTGGCCCTCATGCCTAGTCCTGTCGAACTACTGCTCTCAGACACGAGGGGCTACCTGGATCCTGAGTTCATCACCACGCACCATTCCTCCACCAAGACAGACGTGTACAGGTCAGCTTTCACTCGTGCCGCACAAATAATAATGTATAGGCTAATTTCTTGTCCCTCTCAAGGTCACGACTAGGGGCTATCTGGACCCTGAGTTTATCACCACACACCACACCTCCACCAAGACAGACGTGTACAGGTCGGCTCACCTCTTGCCACATGATTTTTTATTAGGCCTCTATAATGGTCACGTGTAGTCTCATCGCTTGCCCTCCTTCTAGTCAGGACCTACCTTGATCTTCAGTTTATTATCACCACGCACCATGCCTCCAGGAAGAAAGACGTCCACATGTCAGCTTCCAAAGTCCTCCCGACCTCTCCCTGGTCCAGCTTCGAAGTGGTTCTGCTAGAGCTGCTCACAACCCAGCGTCCCTTGCTCTTCATGTAGCTCGTGAAGCACTGTGCTCCCTTACCCGCTGCGTCCTCTCTCCCCTTTCCGTACCCTCCTTCTCCTCTCCTCTCCCCACCAGCTTCGGTGTGGTTCTCCTAGAGCTGCTCACAGGCCAGCGCCCCTTGCTCTACATCTCACCCCCCGCCCTTGCTGCTGTGCCACAGCCAGCTCACGCTTCTGTAGCGGCATTAGCAGCAGCAGCAGGAGCATCAGAACAAGCAGCAGCAGCAGCAGCAGCAGCAAAGGCACCAGCTGCAGTAGAATCTGCAGCAGTTGAAGCAGCAGTGGAACGAGAAGCAGCAAAAGCAGAACATGACACCACAGAGCAGTGCAGCCAGAAATGCACGACCCAGGGCCCTACAAACCCATGCACTGACGCAGAGCCACCCGGGTTACCATCAGGGGAGGACCATTCAGCAATAGCCGCTGCCCATACCACCCCCACACCTTCATGCAAAACAAGCTCTGCTGCAGTACCTGCCGCTCTCCCCTGCAACAACATCTCTGCAGCAGCAGCGCAGAATATCTCCTGGCCTCAAGAAACATGCCAAGCAGTCTCAGAAACCGTATCTGCTGAGGATCAAATCTCTCGAATCCCAGTGGATGCACATGCAGGAGCAGCTTCCACGAAGCTTCTTGAAGATCCTTCTCTGGGTGCTTCCAGTATCCATTCCTTCGGTGTTACAACTCTTGCTGACTGGGCTCGCCGCATGCTCTCCCATGGCCACCTGGCAGATATTGTCGATCCCCGCATGCCACGTCAGCCGCCCGATTTTCCACCTCAGTTGGCTGAGTTTGCTGACGTGGCAGTGTCGTGCACGGACCCGATTGGTTACCGCAGGCCTGGTATGGGATCTGTGTGCTCGCGACTGGAGGCCATTCTTCACTCCCTTGCTCCCACACCCACCATGCCTCACCATTCCCCATATCAGCTCACTTCATTATCAGCCACAGCACCGTCTTCTGACGGTGCTGCATCTACAGTAGCAGCATCTTCTGGTGAGGAATGTTCACGTATTGGGGCCTACAACACAGGTATTCAGATTCATCAGGGCAGCGGTAGCAGCGGAAGCAGTGCCAGTGGCGGTGGTGCTTACCGGCATGTGAGTTCCAGAGCACATGTCAACTTCCAGGATCTTGGTGTGAATTATGGGATGGGAGGTGGTATGGGCTGCAGCTCTATGCACAGCAGCAGCCAGGGCAGCAGCAGCTGTGGAAGCAGTATTGGAAGCACAGCACCATTGAACCTATAAGAGTGATTAATTATCATGGTCTTGGGTGGGAGTCATATCAAAATATTAGTGGAGATTGCCTCTGCACTCCATCAATGCTCTGTACTTGTGTCTTTTCATTACACAGAGTTGGACGGACTGCTTGTATGGTCACTTTGTAACCATTTCTATTTCAGCAGAAGTTTCCACAAATCTTGCTTTGAACCAGTTAGTCAGGTTGACTACATTGAAGATAGATTAGACTTGGTAATTTTTAACAGGAAAAAACAGATGTAACAAGGTGCCAGCATGTACGATAAACAATGGGAGGAAACGAAAAATGGGGGAAAATGCAAAACTCCCCTTTTAACGAGGAGACTATGAGGTGTACCGCATGGTACCCTTCTCGAATCCAATCGTGGGGAACTGCTTGGCGAACTCCTCTACGTTATGCTTCAACCCTGCAATCGCCGCCTTGATCTTGTCATTTGTGTCCACAGTGGTGCGGAAATCCTTCAGCTTAGGTCCTGTGAATAGCAAAGATTCCATGAGGTAGTATCAGCGAGTGTATCAGGAACTTGATCGAAAAAACAGAGAGCAAATGTGGCCGAATCATGCTCCATGGAATGTGGTGCTGTCTCTGCACAAACCCCAGTCACAGCATGGGGTGCCGTGGCATGGCATGACACGGCATGACACGTGTGGCATGGCATGGCATGGCATGGCATGGAATGTACCTGAGAGAGCCTTGGCCTCGACAGCTATCTTGACAGCCTGGTCGAAGAAATCAGCCACCTTCTCAAAATCCTCCTCTGTGAAGCCTCGTGAGGTGAGGGCAGGTGTGCCTGTAAGGGAGAGAAGAGCACCGAATGGCATGGACGAGAGATAGTTAGCATCATTAACTTGGAAGGTGGAGCAAAGAAATGGGTTGGGCCAGGCCAGGGGCCTCCAATGCAGGAGTTGTGCATCACTTACCCATTCGCACGCCACCAGGCACCATGGCAGAGACATCGCCCGGAACGGTGTTCTTATTGGCTGCGATGTGAGCCAGCTCCATCACCCTCTCTACTCGCGACCCGTCCACTCCCTGATGGACACATGGCATAAGGGGAGAAATTAATGAAGCTAGCTTCAATGAACCAGAACTGGATAGTGCGAATGCGGGGATTGAGATTCGATAGTGTGGCAAGTGGTTGAACAGGATTAGAGGAATACGAGAAAATACAAGCATTAACATTAGGTTGCAGATTATCGGTGGACGCTGGTTTCCTTGAACAGGCTTCTTTCTTTCAGATCCTAGCTTGGTTGAAACGTCTTGACATACCTTGCTCTTAAGGTTCACAAGGACCAAGTGGTTATCTGTGCCGCCTGACACCAGGTCGTACCCGCGTTCTTGCAGGGCCTGATGGGGCACAACACAAGAGAGAGGGGTGAAAACGAGAATCAGCACCAGGACACCTGCTGATGAGTGTGCACGTCAGGGCGTGTCGCGAGTTTTGAGGCGCCTGAAGAAGCAACTAAATCCACGCGGCTGCTGACAAGGGTGTGCGTGTGTGGATGCGAGGGGCTGTGAGGGTGTGCGAGGGTGGTAGTGCAATGGGAGTGAGCGACAGGGGGGGGGGGGGGGTGGAAGTGCGGGTACGGGGGTTGGGTTGGACAAGGTGCGGACGAATCAGATGGTCGTGCCAATGTACAACGTACAACCACTAAGCGCTGCCAACCAGGAATTACAAGGTGCGGAGATAGGGAGACGGCGGACGGGCGTACCTTGGCAAAGCGAGCACTGTTGGCCATGACCTGCTGCTGGTACCGCTTGAACTCCTCTGAGGCTGCCTGTTGCCATGTGAGGGGGGGGGGGGGGGAGGGAGGAAGAGTAGCATAATTAGAATCGAGCTTTAAGTTGCCTCAATTGAGCGCTGTTAGCCATGACTTGCTGCTGGTACCGCTTAAACTCATCTGAGGCTGCCTATTGCCATGTGAGGGGCGTGGGAGAGGGAGGAAACATAGCATCATCAGTTCCACTGTTGATCCTTCTGTAGCCCAGTGTCACACATGTGTTGGCTTGCACCTTCGCCAGTAGTTGTAAGGGGTATGTGAAAGTATGCTACATGGTTGGGGGCTGTGGCGAGGCCAGTGATTGTACAGTTGTGCTCTGTGGTTGGGTGACTGCGCTGCTGGCTGACTGCTACCAGCAACAACGAACCTGCTTGAGGGCGACAGCAAGACCAGTGATAGTGCAGTTGTGCTATGTGGTTGGGTGATAGCGCTGCCTTGCGATCGCTACCAGCAAAAACGCACCTGCTTGAGCGCGGGGCAGCAAGGCCGGTGATGGTGTGGTTGCAGGGCGATAAGGGCGGACAGGTGGACTGACACTGCATTGCAGGTGTAATGCCTTGCATTCACTACCAACAAGAACGCACCTGCTCGAGCGCGACATCGAGGCCGGTGATGGTGTGGTTGTGGGGGCATGCTGTCGTGGGGCCAAGCAGTCAGTAAGCAAGCGAGTGGTTGCACTGCACTGCTTGCATTCACTACCAGCAAGAGCGCACCTGCTTGAGCGCAACAGCGAGGCCGGTGATGGTGTGGTTGTGGGGGCCGCCCTGGTGGCCTGGGAACACAGCGAAATTGATCTTGTCCTCAAAGTCGTACATGATCTGCGAGGGAGAGAGTGACACAAATGAGAGTGGTGCAAGAAAAGAGGCCGAAATGGATAAGTCCAGCACACACCACCACCGCAGAGGACTAGGAACGACACAGACCTGATAGTGTTCTAAATTGTAAAGAATGGAAATGGAGGGTAGGCACTAACAGACTGGGTGTGAAGGAATCAGAGGACACTGGGGGAAGTGAATGAGAAGCAGGTGCTCTTGTGTCTGTAAGCAGAATCAAGAGTCATGAATTTCGTCAGCCCGGTTGTAAAACAAGGCGACTCTCAGTTAGTCGACCATTGTTTCATAACACCCGTTTTTGTTTTGAGTGAATTTCAAGATTTTCTTACGCATTCCTCTGCTCCCCCATCACGATCTCTCTTCTCGCCTTATCCTGCCAAGATGCCAACACCCCCATCCCCCCCCCCCCACCAGCGTCATCTCTGCCATGCGCAACATTAATACTCGCTATAAGCTCACCTCCTTGCCATTCTTGTCGGTCTCCTTGACTCCCTTGCGGTAGAAGATCATGGCGCCACGTGGCCCTCGGAGGGACTTGTGAGTGGTGGTCGTGACCACGTCAGCATAGTCGAAGGGCGATGGGACCACTCCTGCCGCCACGAGGCCACTGATGTGTGCCATGTCAGCAAGGAGAATCGCGCGCTGCTGGTCGGCGACCTGGAAAAGCAGAATCCGGGAAATTGGGAAGTGAGAGGAAGATCAGCGAGGTCAGCACGAAGGGTATTGATAAAATTTCTACTCCGCGACAATAGCTAATCACCTGTTTTCTCACGCACGATTGCCTCCTTCGTTGAAACTTTGATTTTCATATCCTTATCTTCACGGCCCTCGCTCTAATCTTGCGCATGCGCGGATAGTCGTAGTGGCACGAGTACGCGCTGGCGCCTCTAGAGTCGACTCAAAGTCTTCACACTCACCTTGCGCGAGTAAAAGCTATATATCTTAGTCGACCCACTCTCACTCACCTTGCGCATGCGCGGGTAGTCGTAGTGGCGCGAGTACGCGCTGGCGCCCGCCACAATAAGCTTCGGGCGGAACAGCTTCGCGGTCTTCTCCATCTGCAGGGGCGGGGGCAGTCACGAGGCCGAGGAGACGAATCCGAGGCCACAGAGGAAACGGAAGATGAGCTACAATGGAAACCAGACATGGGAGGAACGGAATCGCCTGAACAATTAAATGCGAATGAGTCGAAGCGGCGGGCGAGTGGACGAGGGGCTGCTCTCACAGGAGAAAACGAGCAGCGAGCTCGCGCGGTCGCACTGCAGGACGAAGGCGAGCCTTGCCGCTAATCGCCTACTCTTCAAACGCCTAGCAAACGGGCAGCGCTTACCGTGTCGTAGTCAATGAGGCCGGTGGTCTCGTCGAGGCGGTAGGGCATGGTTTCGAAGTAGATGGAGACGGCGGAGATCTTCTTGGTGTCCGTCTGGTAGCCGTGCGACAGGTGGCCGCCGTGCGGCAGGTCCAGCGCCATGATGCGCTCGTGCGGCTTCAGCAGCGCCGTGTACACCTGGAAGTTGGCGGGCGACCCGGACAGCGACTGCACGTTCACTGGTGGACGCAGAAGAAGAAGAAAGGGAAGAGAAGCACTTTTGAGTGAGCGAGCAATCGAAAGAGACGGCAGGAACGTAGAGGAACTGCCCTGTCAAGGACACGTCAACAACGCCATGCAAGATTGAACGGAATTCGCCTACGTTGAATCAAAGCTTACCTCCCCACTTGGCTGGGTCCAGCCGGAATGCCTCCAGAGCGCGCTTCTGGCAGAGAGTCTCAGCCATGTCGATGAACCTGCGACAGGAACGGAGAAACAGACGAGGAAAACAGGGAAGGGGGAAGATGAGGCAATGCGGTATAGCATGGGAGGCAAGAAGCGCTGGAATTTCGGTACCGCATGGGCGTGGTTGATGAGATTAAAGGAATGGGTTGACTCAACGGTATACTAAAAGGTTCACGTCGGGGGTGAAGTGGAGACTCACTCGTTGCCGCCATAGTATCGAGCGCCGGGATAGCCTTCGCTGTACTTGTTGGTCATGACGGACCCCACAGCCTCCATCACCGACTGCGACGTGAAGTTCTCCGACGGAATCAGCTCCAGGCCCTGACCGACGAACAAAAATCAAGCAGCATGCCGTGAGAACAAAAATATTGTGCTCTCTTCCTCTCTGTTGAGCGCACTGAACGACTTCCGTCGCGGATTGAAGGGTGGTTCAGAAATTATTGGGGTGTGTGGGTCTGGACGTGCGAGGGACGACGAACCTTCCATTGGCGGTTCTTTTCGTGCTCAATGATGTCGTAGATTTCGGGGTCAACGTCTTGAAGAGGCTTGTTGAGCACGGCGGGCCACTGCGACAGGCGAAGATAGTTAACATCGAGAGAAAAAGAACATCGGTGCCACGTACAACATATACAGGGAAAAGAGACGTTCACTCAAATTCAGAACACTTTTGACCGATGAATTAGTATAAATTCGTGAGGATTCAAGATAACAAACAAGTAGCCGATTGTTTATGGACTGTTGCTCTCAAGCAATTAAGACCATGATGATAGAATGGTACTTACAGAGACGTCTGTGCGGCCCTTGGACTTCTCAATCCAGGCATAGGCTTCGTCATTGGTAGCCTGGAGCATGGAGATAACGGTAACAATAAGTCGCGGTTCGTTAAAACGGTCACAAGCCCTGAGAGCGACTGGCATGAGATTCATTTGCTCACAAAACGATTGGACAGGTGGCGACAGTTCGCTCACCGCATAGCCGCGGCGAGCAATGGCAGTCCAGGGACTGGCGACGGGGTGCACGGCGTTAGTCTGGCAGGCCCTCCTGATGTGACGGCCTAAGTGCCTGACAACCTGCTGAGCCATTTCTGCCGAACACGCAGCTCACTAGATAGAGACGGGGGTTAGGTAATCTAGTTCGAGCTGACGGCACTCGTGCAGCGCAGACTAATCGACGCTACTTGTACGTAAGAAGAACGATACTCCTTACGTAAGACTGGTTTCTCCTAAACTTGGAGGCAAGTCCAATGTTTAGGCGAATGGCTGACTACCTGATAAAATAGCAATCTCAAAAACGAATTCCTGGTTATGAACTGAGCCAAATGAATGTCGATGCCAGCCAAACTGGAGGGCCCAGCAGACCAGACCAGAATCCAGATTCCAGGGACGAATTTGACTGCCTGAAGATGATCTCAAGAGAGCAGAACCAGTTTGGCGGGCAACTTTTGTGCTGGGACCAGCTGACGAGGCCAAGATCAGCAAATGTGGCTGTGGACTGATGACGTGGGTACAGCTTGACTTGGCGACACGAGAAGCTGGCCCGCGTCGTGAATCAGTGACGCAGAATCAGCGTGGTTCATGCCATGTCATCGGTTCAGACACAAGAGTGCCGGGCAAAAGCGTGAAACTCCGAATGGTGCTCCCTTTTCGGGAACGAAGCAGAGGCCAACTGAATTCCTCAATATGAGCAGCTCCGCATACAATTCAAACAACTAAGGCCTATTGTAGCCATAAACACAAGCTGACTACCTAAGCTACCAAACTATCAACATATTCTCACTGCCAGCCAACTCAGCTCGTATGTGGCATACCATGTGAACCACCGTCCACCCCTCTTCCTCCTTCATAACCACCCACAGCCGGACTAGAAGCTCTCACTGCCCTCTCTGAACCAACGCCTTCCCCAACCATACCATGATTTCCTCCCCTTGGTACAAGTGGATGTGCATGGGGATGTGCATGGGGATGCGCATGTGGACGTGCATGGGGATGAGAAGCAACATGGGGCATTGGAGGAGGATAATGCGGATGCCAATGCTCGTGGTAATACCCATACGCGGGAGGCATGGGTGGGGGAAAGTGATGATGTGCGTGATGGGGATATGCGTTAGGATGCATGGGAGGGGAACCGGGGGCAACATGCATCATACCACTAGCGCCAAAACCACCAGCACCAGCAGCGGCACCACCAGCAGGACCAGCAGCAGCACCACCAGCACCAGCGCCACCGGCACCAGAAACACCAGCACCACCAGCACCAGCAGCAGCACCGGCACCACTAGCAACACCACCAGCAGCAGCCGCTGCTGCCACTGCTGCCGCAGCAGCAGCAGAAGAATCATAAGGCAGATGAGACGGCGGCTGCAAGGGTGTACCACCATGGGGTATCATGTGTGGGTAATGCGGATGGAAAGGGTATTGCGGGGAAACCATATGGGGCGGCGGGTATGGCGGGTAGTAACCGTAAGGGGGCATGTAGGGGTATGGTGGGTAGGCTGATGGGTGGGATTGGAGGGGAGCGGTGGGCGGATAACCTGGGGAAGTACCTGGCCAATAGGAAACGCCCAATGCAGCAGCGGGAGTGCTGTTAGTGGGAGGTGACGTGGCAGGGCCTGATTGGATACGAGCTGCTCCTGAAATTGAGGGGGAGCCTGCAGGCGTCACAGCAGGTGCAGTGGTGGCAGGAGCAGTAGCAGATGCAACAGTACCAGCAACACCAGCAGTGGCGGCAGGATTGGTTGCAGCAGAAGCACCAGCAGGAGCAGCAGGAGAAGCTGAGGCAGTGGGAGCAGAAGGAGGGTAACCCACGGTAACCGAGGGTAGTGGAGGGCCGTATGGCATGAGGGGACTCCCAGGAGGGAGATAGGGCGGATAAGGCAGGCTGTGAGGGCTTGCTGGGGGGAGTGCCCTGAGTGCAGAGACAGAAGCATGGGGGTTGGGATCTGAGGGCTTTTGAGCAGAGAGTTTGGGAGCAGGGGCTCTTGTGGTAGTCGCAGCAGTAACTGCAGCAGCGGCGGGAGCAGCTGGAGCAGTGGGCGCAGCGGGAGCAGTGAGAGCAGTGGGCGCAGCGGGAGCAGTGAGAGCAGTGGGCGCAGCGGGAGCAGTGAGAGCAGTGGGCGCAGCGGGAGCAGTGAGAGCAGTGGGCGCAGCGGGAGCAGTGAGAGCAGTGGGCGCAGCGGGAGCAGTGAGAGCAGTGGGCGCAGCGGGAGCAGTGAGAGCAGTGGGCGCAGCGGGAGCAGTGGCAGCAGTGGGCACAGCGGGAGCAGGAGCAGGGACCTCAGCAGGGACAGGAGCAATTGTGGAAGCATGAGGGGCGGCAGGCGGAGCAGCAGGGGAAGGGGCAGCACTACCAGCAGCGGCAGAGATTGCAGACTTTGGAGCGGCAGCAGCGGCACCAGTAGCAGCAGCAGCACCAGTGGCAGCAGCAGCACCAGTGGCAGCAGGAACCGCAGCAGCAGCAGCAGCAGGAACAACAGCAGCAGCAGCAGAAGCAGCAGCCCTAGTAGCAGTAGCAGCAGCAGCAGGCGTTTCAATGGGAGCACGGACAGAGGCAACACTGTTCACCCTTCCAAAGGCAAGGCTAGAAGGCGCAGGTTGAGGTGGTAACCGTGTTACAGGCACTGATGGGGGCTGTGAAACTCCTGCTGTGGAGTGAGGCTGACCCCCTGCCGCCTTTTGACTTGCCACACGTGCAGCTGCTGCTACTGAAGCCCCTGCTGCTGCCCCTGTTGTTGATGCTGCTGGTGCAACCCCTGCTGCTGTAGCAGCTGTAGTTCGGGACTCTACTCCAGCAGTCATACCTCCAGCTGAGGTTGTTCCTCCCCTCCTTTCGCTGCCCTCCTTTGGTAAAACGGCACTCGCTGCTGCACTCGCTGCTGCACTCGCTGCTGCACTTGCTGCTGCAACTGCTGCTCCACCTGCTACCGCACCTGTTGTTGCTCCAATGTTACGTGCAACGTCTGTAGCTCTTGTCATGGCACCAGCAGCATCTGTAGCAGCCACAGGAGGAGGTGACACTTTGACTGAAGTGGCATTGCGAGTGGTTGCAGCAGCAGCAGCACCTGTGGCAGCAGCTGTAGCAGTAGCTGTAGCAGCACCTGTAGAAGCACCTGCAGCAGCACCTGTAGCAGTAGCTGTAGCAGCAGCAGTAGCAGCAGCTGTAGCGGCACCTGTAACAGTTGCTGTAGCAGCGGCAGCTGTAGCAACACCCGCAGGCAAAGCTGAAGCTGTAGGAGCAGGGGACGCCAGAGAAGGAGGAGGAGCAGCAGCAGTAGTGGCGAGAACTGAGGAGCAAGCATCATTTGTAGGGGGGACTGCAGCAGAGGATGGCGCAACTAAACCAGGGTTTTCTAGAGGATCGGATCCACGTCCCTGGGCAGGCTCGGAGCCCAGACCAGGCTCGGAGCAAGGTCTGGTAGCACTACCACCAGCAGAAGCAGCAATGGTACGAGCAGGAGGAGGAGCAGAGGGAGAGGCAGAAGCAGAAGCAGGGGCAGGTGCAGGAGCAGGAGTAGCAGAAGCAGCAGGAGTAGAAGCAGCAGGAGGAACAGCAGGGGCAGCAGCAGGAATAGAAGCAGCAAGAAGAACAGCAGGAGAAGCAGGAGCAGCAGGAGCAGCAGGAGCAGCAGGAGCAGCAGGAGCAGCAGGAGCAGCAGGAACAGCAGGAGCAGGAGGAGCGGGAGCAGCAGGAATAGCAGGAGCAGGAGGAGGAGCGGGAGCAGCAGGGGGAATTGCAGGAGCGGCAGGAAGAACAGGAGCATCAGGAATAGCAGGAGGAGCATCTGGTGGTAACCAGAAGCCAGCCGCGGCTGCATCTGAGCCGTCGATGAACCCCCCTGGATGCCAGAAGTAGTCTGCAAAGCCCTCCCCCTCAAAACTCTCCTCAGGACCAGCTGACCTGTCCACTGTGCCTGATTGCGCATGCTTTTGAGTCAACTCAAAAAGAGGACCCGCTGACCTGTCGACTGTGGGGGAATGAGTGTGGCATAGAGATAGGTCCTGTGTGGGTGAGTGATGGGACCGAGGAGGGGGAGAAGGGTGGTGGTGATGAGAAGGGGGAGGAGGAGACGGGTCGTGATGATGAGGAGGGGGAGGGGGAGAAGGGTGGTGATAAGAAGGGAGGGGAGGAGGAGGAGGAGGAGGAGGAGAAGGATGCTGCTGTTGCTGCTGTTGGTGTTGGTTGTGACGACGCTGCTGATAAGCAGAGGGACCAGTATGGGTATCAGAAGGAGCAGCAGCGTCAGCAGAGGCTGTAGACAAGCGTGAAAGCCTGCCTTGACCGTAAACCTGTCTCTCATGCACTTTCCCAGAGAAAGTTCCATGAATGTCAGCGGCATTAGCATTATGCCCATGGATGTCAGCGGCATTATGCCCTTGCATGTGAGTGGCATGATGGACAGGCATGTGAGTGCTGTGATGCCAAGGCATGTCAGGACAAAACAGGCTGTCCACTTCCGAACCACCGCCTGCAAACGTCTCATCGTAAGACATTTCTGTGCTGCCCGAAAATTGCGGGCGGCCCGACGAGACAAAACCTCCTGGTGCTGTCATATTCCTTCTAGAACCCGGCCCTGGGGCAGCAACACCACCAGCAGCACCACCACTAGCAGGAGCAGCAGCACCAGCAATACCAGCAGCAGTAGCAGCAGCAGCAAAAGCAGCACCAGCAATACCAGCAGCAGTAGCAGCAGCAAAAGCAGCAGCAGCAGCAGCAGCAGCAGCACCCCCAGCACCACCATCGGCAGCAGCACCAACAGGAGCAGCGAATTGAACTCGAAAAGGCTTTTCTTGAAAAGACCCTTTCTTGGAATGCTGCATGGAATCATCTTGATGTTGCATGGCATGACTTTGATTTTGCATGGAATATTCGATTCTCGCATCACCCATTTGAACGCCCATGCTCATGCCAAAGCCAATGCTCGGATCCATACTTGCATCCATACCCATGCCCATGCCCATGCCCATGCCCATACCCATACCCATGCCCGTACCCATGCCCATATCCATACTCCTCCCCGATCCCATCCCAGTCCCCTTTTCAAATCCCATGTTCATGCCACTCCCATACAAAGCAGCGGCACCAGCAGGAGGAGCCGAGCTGGGGCCTGTGCTTTCATCTCTCTTTTGAGCCGAGCTTGGGTCTGTGCTTTCATCTCTCTCCCTCTTCAAACCCACTTCTCCCCCTTTGCTCCTGCCAGACGCCGTCTCCTGCCCCTCCCCACCTCCTGCCCCACCTCCTGCTGCTACTGCTGCTGCTGCTGCTGCTGCTGCTGCTGCTGCTGCTGCTGCTGCTGCTGCCCCTGCTGGTGCTGCTGCCCCTGCTGGTGCTGCTGCCCCTGCTGGTACTGCTGCTGCTGCTGCCCCTGCTGCACCTCCTGCTCCTCCTGCTCCTGGCTTAGACGCTGCTGCTTCTCCCACTACTCCTGCTGCCCCTGTTCCCCCTGCTACAGCCTGCCCGACATCCCCCACTGCTCTCCCTTCCCCTGTTCCACCACGCACAATAGATGTAGCAGCACCATCCGTAGCACCAACAGGAACAGCAGCTGTAGCCGCAGCTACTGTAGAGCGAACAGCAGCTGTAGCAGCAGAATCAACAGGAACAGCAGCTGTAGCCGCAGCTACTGAGCAGAAAACGGGACTGCGCCTGCTGCTGCTACTGCTATGGGTCAAATGGTGGGGGGCAGAAGGGTAAGGGGTACCCCCAAACCCTGCTGCAGACCCGTTATAAGCCACACCAGACCGTGACGCAGCCGTATTTTGAAAACCCTCAACAGCTGCTCCTGCAATCCCTCCTCCTCCCATCCCTCCTCCCATCCATCCGCCTTCCCCTTGTATCCAATCCATACCATCAAAATCATATCCAGAATCGATTTCTGTCAACCACTTCTGCCCCCCATCCTCTGCTGAATCTTTATTTAGACCTCTTACAGACACCCCTTCTGCCCTTCCCTTCCCACCTCCTCCTCCTCCGCTCCCCTCTCTCACTCTATTTAACTCCCCTTCTCCTCTCACCCCCTCCGCGCTTCCACCGCTCTGCACCTCTCCATTCTCCTCCCTCACCTCTCTCCTCCCCTCCTCTCTCCCCTCGTCCTCCTCTTCCTCTAACATCCTCCGTTGGGTCTGAATCGTCCTAACCATCTCCGTTATAATCACACTCAGTGTAAGCACTCCCACCTGGTTCTTCCCTTCCCCTAGCCCCGCCCCATCCCCCCCTCCTGCTCCATCGCCCATGCCTCTCCTCCTACCCCCCTTCCCCTTCTTCCTCCGCTTCCTCCCCCCTTTTCCACCCTTCTCCCCGCCCCCCCTTCCCCCACTCGCGCCCCCTTCCACTATCACGGGGTCCAGGTACCCCCGGTGACGTGGCGGGAAGGGCTGCTGAGCTGGCGGAATGAGGTGGCGGTGGTGGGCGCAGAGGACGGGGGAGAAGGCGGAAAAGGCGGGGCGTCCGCAGGGCAGGTGCGCCCCGCTATTGGAGCCCCTGGGGGAACAGCAGAGGGGGGGGAGAGAGGAGGGGGGGGGGGAGAATGGGGGGGGGGGGAGAGAGGAGGGGGGGATGTGGGATGGTGTAAGCAGGTGTGGACGGGGGAAAGGAAGGCGGGGCGCCCGCAGGGCAGGTGCGCCCCGCTATTGGAGCCCCTGGGGAAACGGCAGAGGGCGGAGGGGCATGGGGGGAAAGGTGAGGGGAAGAGCGGGATGGGATCATTAAAAGGGGTGGGGAATGGTTGGGATGGTGTAAGCAGGTGTGGCTGGAAAAGCACCAATAAGCTGTGATTCAAACAGAAGACGGCGAGGGCATGGGTGTTGGAGGGGGAGAAGGGGGAGCGGGAGAAAGGGGAGGGGGAGAAAGGGCAGGGGAAGAAAGGGGAATGCGGGATTGTACCAGCAAACGATGTAGGTGCAGGGCTTGTACAGCCTCTGGCGCGGCTCTAAAAGAATGTGATTCAAACAGAAGACAGACAATGCCAGGGGCTTCGCCAGGCACGGCCCAGGCGCCGCGCAGTGCAACGTGGCATTCGCTGGTTTGTCAGGCGCGTGCGGCTCCGGCCTTGCTGCTCCCCCCGCACCCGCTGCCCCGTTTCCCCCTGCTGCTCCGCCTTCCCCCTCAGCTCCGCGGTCCCCCCCTGCTCCGCCACTCTCTAGCCCGTTTCCTCCAGCTGCTGCCCTGAGACTAGTATCTCTCGAAAAAGGGGGGGCAAGGGGGGGCGGCGGAGGCGGAAGAGGCGCGTGGGGGCGCGAAGCAGGCGGAAAGGGGAAGTCGCTGCCTTCTCCCGCTCCGCCTGTTCCGCCAGTGGCGGAAGGATGCGCGGGCTCTTTCCATCCGCTCTCCCCTGTGCGCATGCAGAATCGGCGGTACTTGGCGCGCAGCTCCTCCAGCAGCGCCCAGTACTGCCCGCGGTACACCGCCATGAGCCTGTAGCGAAGCGGCGTATAGCGAAACAGGACGGATTAGGATTACAATTTACCACAGTCAACGTGGACCCCAAGGCTGTTGCATTCAGTTTCAAGCGAATTCAGCCTCAGAACCAAATATAGGGTTTGATGCTACATGGAAGTCCTCAGAAGCTCAAAGCACGTAACTCTCGCCACGACGCCAGCATTCATCAACAATGACGAGGTGTGCCCCGTGAGTGAAGAGCAATTGAGTAATTAGGGTCACGCGGGGAAGTAAGGAACTGACTTTCGGAGGCGGTTTAGCCGGCGCTGAACCACCTCCTCCGCCGCAACTACCGGCAGATTGCGCAAGCATTCCTCGAGATCCATCGGCTCCATATCCAGCGATCCGTCCTCTCCCTCTTCGTCAGAATGGCCTCCTGCATCCCCCTCCGCTTCCTCGCCGGGACCGCCTTTTTCAGCGGCTCTTAAAGTCATACCGCGATGAGCTGGTGCCGCGGCAAACGAAGGTTCCGGTTTCATCGTTGTTTTAGTGTCCATTTAACGGTTCAACCTGAATATTTCGGAATGGCTGAGTTTACTTGACCTATGATTAGCAAACCTCGGGTGCGCCAGATAATCGTGGCATACGCGCTTTAGGCGCAAATCCCTCAGGATTGAAGTCCCATCTTCTATTGTACAGAACTAAAGTTTACATTATGTTAGAACGCATTTCGGACTTCCTAACAAGTGACTTCCTAACAAGTTGGATAGTCGCCCAGCCAATGATGTTGGAGGCAGCAGCTCTGTGATTGGGGATTCACAGTCGCAAAACCGACGCTTGTTACGAAGTTGGTTGTTTGGAAATGCCCGAAATGCGACCTTATTGCAATGAAAATAGTTGTTGGCGGCGCCAACTGCTATCCTGACACCACGATCTGTCAGGCCAGGGCCTTTTTTTCCAGGTTCTGCTGGACTTCAGTCAATTGTTTTGCTGTATGTACAGTGGCCGCGATACAGAAAAACCATCAGGCTAGCAATACTTGTCGAGTTAGAATCCTTGAAACTTTTCATTCAACTGCTTGTTTGTCAATATGTGTTCCGGGAAACAAACAGAAAAGAATGCAAAGAAATGCATGGTGTATGAAAAAAAAAATGCGTGGGGGTTTCACTCATTTGACCGACGTGGACTGTATATTCCAGCCTTGGTAATCTCGGGCCCTGTTTGGTGGCCTTCCAGTCACACTGGGCCCACTCGAACTGGGGAAGCCTACGACATGTTTCGTAGCCTCGGGCGTCCACGCACACTGAAAGGAAGTCTCGTCCACAAATGCAAGAAGTTACCGTGTGTTTCTCGAGAAATTACTGGTCGAAACTTTTACTTCTGTACGAGGCTGCCCAACTCACAAACAAAAAACAGCCCGCCAAATGAAACACCCTCGATATGGATAAAAGAAAATCACGAACGGGCACGATCTCTCATCATTTGAACGAGCGAGCTGACAAACATAATTTGACCCGATTCGAGACTAATGCAGCGTTTACCCTACAGCGTGCCACTCAGAGCGGGCCTGCCTGAGTGGAACTGGAAAGCAGAAATGGGGTTGACTTTCACTGGCGGTCGAGCTTGCCTGTGCAAGCATTTTCGTGGTAGCGTCCTCAACTTTACTCGGGCTGGGGTTTTCACGCGTTCGGTAGCCAATTTGCACTGGGCAGGTATGGTGTTCTAATAACGGTTTGGTGGGCTTTAAGTGGAGTCGAAATTGGGCCGAGGAAGAGCACCTGCACCAACCGCAGTGTGACTGTGGGGGCTACCGAACAGGGCCTCGGATTTGCAGTGACGCAGTTGCGTGAACGAATTTTTAGGGTTGCGAAGTATTTCCGGAACGCGTCTAGCCCAGGTTCAATCAACAAGAGCTTTCGTGATTGGTGCGATTGCTGCGATAACGACGTGAGGGTACATTATCAGGAATCAGGATCTACGGAGGTGCGGCGAAAGAATCCAATCAGGTCACTCAAATGTTATTTCTGTCTGGAATCTCTAGAATCCTCATCCCAAATCGAAAGAAAGGGTGGGGGGAGTTAAAACTTGGAGATTATGGCGTGTGCAAAGTGCGCAAAAACTCGACGTCGAGCAACATCGGTGAATTTCCACTCTCGGATCAAAGGTTCCAACCGTCAGGATTCACCGACGTTCCTCGACGTCGAGTTTGTGCAGCACTTTGTACACGCCTTTAATGAGAGAACGGGCTCTTGATGCTCCCTTCTACACTTCAAATCTGCGATTTTGTTCAGTCTAAGCGGACTTTGAAAGAGAAAGTCCTCGGCCCTGCTCGGTAGCCCCCACAGTCACACTGCGGTTGGTGCAGGTGCTCTTCCTCGGCCCAATTTCGATCACCTTAAAGCCCACCGAACCGTTATTAGAACACCATACCTGCCCAGTGCAAATTGGCTACCGAACGCGTGAAAAATCCAGCCCGATTGAAGTTAAGGACGCTACCACGAAAATGCTTGCTCAGGCAAGCTCGACCGCCAGTGAAAGTCAACCCCGTTTCTGCTTTCCAGTTCCACTCAGGCAGGCCCGCTCTGAGTGGCGCACTGTAGGGTAAACGCTGCATTAGTTTCGAATCGGGTAACATTATGTTTTTTCAGCTCGCTCGTTCAAAAGATGAGAGATCGTGCCCGTTCGTGATTTTCTTTTATCCATATCGAGGGTGTTTCATTTGGCGGGCTGTTTTTTGCTTGTGAGCTGGGCAGCCTCGTACAGAAGTAAAAGTTTCGACCAGTAATTTCTCGAGAAACACACGGTAACTTCTTGCATTTGTGGACGAGACTTCCTTTCAGTGTGAGTGGATGCCCGAGGCTACGAAACATGTCGTAGGCCTCCCCAGTTCGAGTGGGCCCAGTGTGACTGGAAGGCTACCAAACAGGGCCGTTTTACAGCTGGTGTTATGGGGATCCCTACCGAACAGATTTCCTTGCTTGTGCACCTCACCCTTCCCGACAGCATTGGTCCTTGTGGCTTTGAGGAGCGCTGATGCCGATACAGCCAAAAATTCTTTGATTTCTTGCCAAGCGGTAGGCCCAGTTGCACAGTGCATTCATTTCGAATCGCCAGCACGGACGATCAGCGCCAAGAAGGAAGATTTCTACCTGACCGTCCGAAATTATTTCAAGTGCCACCAAAGTTGCCCTGCCATGCTGCTCCAAGGTTCTGGCGCCGCTCACCAATAAAATCGCAGCACCGCCAACGCAGCCGCCAGCGTCGTGCCCACCACACCGCCTTGCCTGCCATCAGCCTCTCACGGGGAGAAAATCTATGGCTTGTGGCAACTCCAAGGACCCCCTTTGTGGCTTCAAGAAGCCGCACCAATCCTTTTTCCTGCCACGTGTTTTCCACATCGTGATTCTCAGCCGTCGATCTGCACGTGGGTTTAGTGATTCTGCGGTGGTTTTGGGCTCTGCTCCCAATAGGATTCAGTCCTCTCTTGAAGCTGGCGAGAGAGCAAACCCTCGCCAATCGTCAGTGCCGCGCCTGTTTGCTCGCTTCTGTTCCCAGATTTTCCCGCCTTGCTTTTTGCAGAAAGCAATTTCTTCACCTCCGATTCCTCATTCCCTCATTTCCTCATTCCCCCAAACCAATTCCACATTCCTCACCCGTGTCACAGCTTTCTCCACTTTCCCTTGTCAGGCGAAAAGCAATTCCTTGTTCCAGGAGCTCAGTAGTTGTGTAATGTCTCTAGCTTCTCTCCTATCCACTCAAACTCCTCCGTGTTTTACAATCCACTCTTAGGCATTCAAGTATCTCGGCAATCAACGGGAAGATGAGTTCCATGATGTTGCGGAATCCGGTGAAGATGCGAGGTGTGGAGGTTTACAAGGATGGCTGGCTTGCTCGCATTCAGATTCGCGGTACTCGCTGCCGCTTCGGCATGTTCGCGAACCAGCAAGAGGCGGCACGAGTGTACGATAGGTGCGTGACGGCTCCTGGCACTACCGCGCGTTGTATCTCATCTGAGTCTCATTAGCCACTTATGTTCCTAACATTCTGCTGAAGGCCTTTCCTTCGCACCTTTGCTGGGTTTTCTTGACTAGCGATGACTGTAGTCTCTGAATGATTGAGTGTTGACTCTGCATTGTCGTAGTTACCAGATTAGCGTCCATGTTCACATTATCGTTTCGACTCTTCAATGTTTAACACGTTCCTTCCACTCTTCCTCTTTTCTCTTCTCCTCCTTCCCGCTTCACTCACTCAGGCTGTCGTACAAGCTTCACGGAGCGAGAGCCGTCACGAACAACTCGATTGACGAGGACACGAAAGCCGAGATCGAATCCTCCTCTCTCGAATCAATGCTAGCCGTGGTCCCCGCCATAGATCCGCATCCACTCTACGAATCCGCGTGGCAGGCAGAGGGTGGCGAAGAGGAGGAGGAGGCGGCGGAGCAATCCATGAGCTACGACAGCGATACTACCGCTCCCTCACCTGATAGGATCAGATCCGACAGAATCAGATCCGATAGGATCAACGCTGCTGACGTTGCGCTTCCGGAGTTGCTTGTGGAGGCTGAGAGCCGTAGGCGTGTAAGTAGCAGTAGCGAGCCGTGGGCTTCGCCGTCTTCTCAGGGATCTGGGAGGATTTCGCGGTCCGAGGAGTCCTCCTGCGCGTGCTGCGATACGAGGGAATGCACTAACGCGTACAAGAGCCGATCTCGCCAAGATCCCGCGGCTTGCGAGTGGGATCGTCTTTCTAGGCGGTACCACGGCGCGGCATCGTCCAACTCGGGGAGTGTACTCGGTATAACCGGCTCCGATTCGGGCAGCGACGAGGTTAATTGGAGCAGCGGCGGCTTGAAAAGGTCCGGCGACGGGGACTGCAACGGCGGCGGTGATGGCGATGGCGAGTGCCCCGGCATGTTGGTGTTCACTGTGCGGAAGAAGCGGCGGATGCGATCTCGACCGCACACGTGGAGCAACGCCTCTCCCATCAACGGCTCTCCGATCATGACCTCTCCCAGCCACGGTGCGTCTCGAGATTGCCGGATCCGCGGCCCCGTGTTCCTGAGAGCGAATGTACCGTCGTGAATGCGTCGTTTTTTATGTGCGTCGCCAATCCACACTCCAATGGTTTTCGTTCTCCAACCCTTTCCCCCGCGTGAAATCTCTTCCTGCAGGTTCGGAGCGGATGGGTGCTGGGAACCTCACCGTAGCTCGCGAGACGGTTCGGAGCGGAGAGGAGATTTTGAGAGGAGTAGTGGTTCGGAGTGCGGCAGGAGCGGAGCTTCCGATGCACGTGAAGGCGGAGCCGTCAGCATCGGGTGCTATGGATTGCGATTGCGACACGCACGAGCGCTGCGATGGCGATTCGGGTAAGAGAAACGAATAACCACTTTTCGGGGTTTGTGATTACAGCACAGGGGTTTGATGGTGCTTCCACTGGGGTTTTACAGATCCAGGGGTTTCGAATCTGCTTAACGCAATAAAAATGATAAATGCTAGTGTTACAATTGGCTTACGGATCGGTCTTGTTTGTCGTGCAGGTCCATTGCTCTGTTCCGAGGACCTCCTCACGCGAAGCAGGGTGACGACTGGCGCTGCTGCCCCGGCCACTGCTGGCGATGCGCGCATAACCGCCGATGCGCCCGCTACTCCCGATGCGCCCACGGCCTCTAGGCGGAGAGCCAGAGCGCGAGGCAGAGACGGGAGCGGCAGCAACGGCGGCGGCAGGATCCGAAGCGGCGGCGCCAGCCGGAGTAGCGTCAGCAGTCGCAGCAGCGGTGGCAGCCGGAGCAGTGGGGGCGGCAGGAGCAGGGGCGCGGTGACGACGGTGCGTGTGGAGTTCGATCCCGCTTATTGCTGGAAGATTAGAGCCGAGCCCGCGTTCCCTGCGGGGCCACGAGTCGCGAAAAGCACGCCTGCCGCTGGTGAGTGTTAGGGTTTTGGGCAAATGTTCGGAAATGCTTCGTTATGGAGGGATCGACGAGGGTTTTCGGGCTTTGGTGTGAGTTCTGTATGGAGGAAATTGCCGGAGAGAAGCAAGGGTTTTGGGCGATGCGCTTTGAAACATTTAAGGGTCAAGAGGGGATGATGTGCTAGAATTGAAGGGTTTAGGATTGAGGGTGGGAAAAAAATGTTGAAGGTCGAACTTGGTGGTTTTTTTCGCGAATGAATAGCTACAAGTCGAATCGTACAGCTTTTAGCATTCACTGCCGTTTCTCACCCCCTCACGGCTCCTCCCTGCTTCTCCCTTCCCCCATGCTCTCCCCATGCCAGACCTCCAAGGCTCCAGCAGCAGCGCAACTGTAGAAGTGGCCGTGGCTCTTTCCAGCTGTACTCGTTTTGAGCCGCCTCAATACACGCCCGGCAGCAGCACCGCCGTAGCAGTGAAAGCTAACGAGGCGGTGAATCGCAGCAGCACTGCTGTAGAGGTGCCTGTATCTCTCTCCGGATCCAGCCGTCCCCAGATAAGCGTGCTTTCCCGGTGCAACAGAAGCAGCAGCAGCATCCCGGTTAGTGTAGCAGGGACCGGCGGTATTAGTGGGAGTGAGGGAGCATGTGCAGCAGCCGCAGCAGCAGCAGCAGAAGCAGGAGCAGGAATGGCAGCGGTGGCAGCAGCGGCAGCTGCAGCAGCAGAAACAGCGGCAGCTGCAGCAGCAGAAACAGCGGCAGAAGCAGGAAATAGCAGTAACACTACAGAGAAAAAGCCACTGCTGCCGTTCTCTTGGGCTCTATCCGTCGACGTGTCTGGCTGTGGTAGCTACACCCCGTTCTCGCTACCACGCCTTCCACCCATGGTCCAATCGAGCCCTGCAACGTCACCTTCCACGTCTCCCTCCACGTCACCAGTTCGCCCCGGGTTAAAGGAGCCGTTCCTGCATGCTGATGTGGACAGCGCAAAGAGGGGAAGGTGGATGGGAAGCATGGGCATGGGGATAGGTGGGGATGATGAGAAAGCGGATGGCAGCATCTATGTTGCGGCACAATGGCTTGTGGACATGGCTGCAGGGAAGAGCGCTGCTGTGTGCTAGTGTGGTGCGCGTGGACTGATGGAACAACAACAGACCAGGGCTTGAAGGTGCTGCTGGGGCGTGCTGGGAAGCTTTGTTGGCACAGTGGCTTGTGGACATGGCTGCAGGGAAGAGCGCTGCTGTGTGCTGATCCCTCATGCGTGCCTGGGATTGTGTGTGCTGGGGTGTGCATAGTTTGAAAGGGTGTGCGTTTCAGGAGTGTTCTTAGTGTTTTGGGCTGTGCTTGTTTGAGGGTCTGGGGTTTAATATTTTGTGGTTGACTTGGCGGCGCTGGTTGTGGGTTTGCTGTTAGTGTGAAAGGGCGAACAGAACGGCTTAGTACAGAGGCGATGCTGCAAGGGAGGTTCTGCCGGTGCTGGTGGTGCTTCTGGTGCCTAATCCACAGTGTACGTTGCATGGTGCATGGAAGGTGGCGGGTTCTTCAGGATGCTGTGACTGGGGGACAGGCAGCTCTGCAGGAAACTAAACAGCTCACAACAGATACAAGTCTGGTGTGGAGCTGGCACGAGATTACCGTATTAGCATGGCCGAATGCAGGTTATATGGGTGCTGCTGCTGCTGCTGCTGCTGGATTCGGGGCGTGCCGCCCTTCTTTTGGTGTTTGCGCTGTGAATAAAGGGTGCTCATGATAGCATAGTGTCTATTCTTTTCTTGTTTCTCTTATTGCTTGTCATTAATCTGTTCTGAGTGCAAACTCGTTCAGTTACAACCATTACAGAAACATTCATTCGGGGAAGATCTGATGTGGTTCTATACAGATTTCCATACCACCGGACCGAGATCAATGTGTTTGAATTCGGGGCTAGCTTGACAAAGAGGCTACTTTGATAAGACGCTGTAGGATGACACACATTTTACTGAAACTTGAAGTGAGATAAGCAAGACAACATGATGCCTGGTAATTCAAGGGGTGTTACCCAGGCAATTAGCAGGCGGGCGAAACAAAGTGTTTTTTCATGCTTCCTATAATTTTTCACCAAATGCTCAGCCGTCCACTCCTTTCCATCCACCTTCAGTGTTGCTACTAGGTACCTAATAAGGGTACATTCCGTCCTGGACATGTCCAGGAAGAAAGTGTCACAATCCTGTGTACCGCTCTGTATCGTGTAGACACCTCCAGTGCCCACCACGACTAAAAGGCTCTCCCCTTCACTTCACTTTCCATCCGCTCCAGTATTCCTCAGCTTCGGCCGCCCACTCCTTCCGTCCACCTCAACAGCCAACCCCATCTCTCTCAACCCCTCCGTCTGCGCCCCTCCCTCCCGCACCTCCACTGCTACTACGACATATGAGGAGCTTCAACCTCCACATTCCTCCTTCCCTCACTTTCCATCCACACCAATATTCCTCAGCTTCGGTCGCCCACTCCTCTCATCCACCTCCACAGCCAACCCCATCTCTCTCAACCCCTCTGTCCGCGCCCCGCCTCTCACCTCCAGTGCCGTCACGTCAGCAGCGTTCTCGGGGTTGCCTTCTAGAAGGTTCCGCACGGCCCACAGGCCCCACTCCCTGAGGAGATCGTCGCCTTGTGTGCTGTCCCCTGCCACACACTGCTGCAGGACCAGGAACAGACCGCTGCTCATGATGCTTCTGCTTCTGCTGCTGGGGTTGGGGTTGCTGCTGCTGCTGCTGGTGCTGCTGGTGCTGCTGGTGCTTCTGCTGTTGCTGTCAGTGGCGTTGGTGGCAATGGCACCACCACCAACAGAACTATTAGCACCATCAGGAGCAGCAGCCAATACGGGAACGCTAGGAGCCATATAGTACCGCACAGCATCCTGGTATGCCTTGCGCTCATGACATGCGTTTGCAATCACTGCCACCACATCCCTGCGGTAACCAGGGTACGGGTTACACCATGGGTACAGAGCGGTGGAGTCCGATGGAACTGAAGCTGCTCCTGCTCCTCCTATTTCGAAATCCCTGATTGAACCTGGTGCTTTGAATGATGCTGTTGCTTTTGATGCTGCTGCTGTTCCCGTTGCTGTTGCTTCTCTTGTTGCTGTGGCTGCTGCTGATGCGATAGCAGGGGGTCCGAGCCAATGCAGGAGATCAAGCAGGAGCGGAATGAGCTCCGAACCTCCCACCGCAGCCAGCAGGTCCGTGCTGGCCGAGCCTGGGACTGCCGAGCCTGGTGGGGCAGGTTCGGCGGCTGGTACGGAGTCCAGGGCTGCGAGGATACGAAGGCAGTGCAGCGAGAACCGGAGGATGTGGCGTGCTGACAAGGCTTTGTTATAAGGTACCTCGTTAATATTAGGCATTTGATTGCCAGGAGTTACCTGGTTACCAGGTGACAGCAGCAGACCCTGGGCCTGAGCCCGTGCCACAGCCCGTGCAGCACCCCTGCAAACGGTCAGGAGGTAATTCAAGCTGCCCGAGCCCACGAGCGGAAAGGATTCTCCTTGCTCCCCCTTTTTTTGCTCCTCTCCTTTCCCCTCCTTCGCCACTTTGCCACCTTTCTCCTCACTCTCCTCGCTCTCCTCACTCTCCCCTTTCGCCCCTCCCCCAACCCCAGCTGAAACGCCCTGTGCTTCTGCCACTGCTGCCAGTGCCCCCCACACCCCCCACAGCAGCCCCGCTTGCTCCCACCTGCACCGCCCCCCATCAAGCTGCGTCAGGGACGAACGCTCCTCTCTCTTCCCATCCCCACCGCCTTTCTCTTGCTCCCCCTCTTCCCCCTCTCTCTCCGTTTCCCCCTCCCTGCCCAGACCAGTGAAAAGCGGCTTGAAGAAGCTTCCACGAAGGCACAGGCGCTCCAGGAGGAGGCTGAGCCAGGGGTCTATAGAGGAGGCGGGGGAGTCTGGGGGGAATACGGGGGGAATACGGGGGGAATACGGGGGGAATACGGGGGAGGAGAGGACGAGGGGGGAAGAGAGCAAGAGAGAGTTGTGAGTTTGTGAGTTGGAATGCTAAGAAGGGAAAGGTGGGATGAGGAAGGAGGGAAGTGGAGGGGGAACCGGAACGGGTAAAGGAGGGGGGATTATAACGGGGAAGGAGTGGGGAGAGCGGAGGGAGGAACGGGCAGGTGAGGTGGAATGAACTGAAGCAGCACGCGTGGATGTATCATGGTCATGTGAGTGACCCACGAGCCAACAACACTGCTCCTGGGAGCTAAAAACACACGTGAAAGGAAAGGAGCTGAAGCAGGTGTCTGACATAGCATGATAGTATGGGTTGGCACGTGAAATGAGAGTGTTTTTGAGACGTCTCAAAAAACGCACGTGTCTGACATACCATGATCATGTGGGTTGGGAGGGAGCCATCCCCATCCCTCCTCCCTCTCCTCCCACTCTCCCAACCCCTCTTCTTCTACCTCCTCTTCCCTTCCCCCATCTCCATCCCCTCTTTCCCCGCTCATCCTCCACTTCCCCATCTCCCCTCGCAAAACCCTGCCCACCAAATCAACCCCTTCTGCTGATCCTCCCAAATCCGGCGCTGCTTTCTGATTGGTACGCACGCACGTGAACAGTACCATGCACAGTGCCGACCGCACCCCCGCCGCCCGCCCTGCCGCCCCCCCTGCTGCTGCAATCCGGGAGAAGGTTCCTGGAAAGCACCTGTCCCACACTGCCTGCTGCTGCTGCCTACCACCGCCGCAGAAGTTTCCAAGAAGCTGCAGGACCGTTTTGAGCGTGTCGAGGTGATTGGGGGGGAGGGGGATGGAGCGAGGGGGAGGGGGAGGGAGGGCGGGGGGAAATGGGGAGGGGGAAGGGGCAGCGGAGGGGCTGAAGGGGGATTGAGAAGTGGAGTGCGGGGAAGGGGAAGGGGCGATGTGGGGAGGCAAGGGGAGGGGTGGGGGGATAGAGAGAGAGGGATGCATGCTTGGATTGACTGCGTTCAGTTGCCCCTCTGAGAGGGGGTTCGCTTCTGTTGCTTCTGCTGCTACTGCCGCTGCTTTAGGAGCTGTTGCTGCAGATGTTTCTGACATTCCTGCTGCTGCTGACGTGGCTGCATCTGACGTGGAAGAAGCTGCTTCTGGTGTTGTCGCCTTGTTCTCTGTTTCTCCAAGTCTCTCTGCCACTGTACCTCCCACTTCAGCCATTAACGAAGCCAGAGCGTCTGATAACGAGGATACACTTCCCATCTCTTTCAATTTAGTCACATCTCTGGTCTGCGCCTTGATTGCGCCAGTTTCCGGCGCTGACTGCAAGACGCGGCTCGCAATTAATTTATCCGCGATAGTCGCCACAAGGTTCACCGCACCGCACCTCAGGAACGCGTCCTGATTGGCCGCCGAGCCTGCCAGCAGGTTCCGAACCACCCGCAAGGCCTGCAGCAGCGGCCGAAGCGCGTGCACCGCCCATACGCTTGTGCTTGGAGGATCGGTAGATAGCCCCTGGAACCCGCCATTTGCGGCGCCAGATGCGGCGCCGGATGCGGCTCCGGTTGCAGGATCGGACGGCTGTGCCGCGTCAGCATGGGCGACATCTGCGGGATGGAAGATTCCGTAAAGCTCGGGGCAGTGGCGGCAGAGCTCGGGCAGGACGCCGACCAATCGGGTGATCGCAATTCCGCTGCCCGCAGCTCCAGCGCTGCCGTTACTTCTGCCCGGAGAGCTGCCCGTAAGAGATTCACTTTCTTCTGTGAGCCAATCGCGCTCGCGCGATCTGGCGAGGAGATTCGCGAGCGCTTCGGCGAGAGGATCCAACGAGGCTACGTCTCCGCTAGCGAAGCGAGGGGCGAGCGACTCGACTTCGGTTAGAAGCGATTCCATACTTAACTCTAACGTGAGGACGAAGCGCGGAGTAATTTGTCAGCGAGGGCGACTATCGCGGTCAATAGAATGGGATATTACTGCCCGAACTCGCAAAATGGGTACGAATGCATGCCTGAGAATGAAAGAACGAGGAACGGAAGAGAAGGGAGAACGGATGAAAGAGAAAGCTATTTTGTGGGGAAATAATGCTTGTGATGCGATCGAGATCGAGGGTTGAGATTGAGAGTTGAGGGATTCGAGAGCGTTCGGCGAAACGTTTTCTGCATCGTCACTGTTACCTTCCTAGAAGATGCAGCAAGGCCAATCCCCCAACATCTTTCGCAAAAACCAAGCATCGTTTCGCGTCACCGCCTCGAACTTTTCGTGCGCGGAGCACGTTCCGCGAGATTCCGAACTTCCCCACACTCAAATTCTCCGCTCCCGCCGCCCCTTTTCTCCCTGGGCCCTTTCTCCGCGAATACAAGTCCCCCTGCTTTCTCCCCCTCCCCCCCTCCCTCCACCCCCGTGAGAATAAGTGAGAAATCTCCAAGCTCAAATCCGACCAGCCATCACCACCACCATCACCGTCCCCGCCGCCCTGCTCCTACACACCCTACACACTCCGCCACTGCCTGTAACCTCCGCGCGCTCCCCGCGCGCTCTCCGCGTGCAATCCGCGCTCCCTCCGCTTCGTTGTCCTCCATTCCGCGCATCACCGGCGCCCATCGCGTTTGTTCCTCGAAGCTTCGCTTCCGATGGACCTCGCGGTCCGGGCCCAGTGGGCACTGCAGCAGCCAATCAGTTCATGCCACGTTAGCGCATCGTCAGGAGCTCGGCGCAAATCAGAATTTACCAGCCGCAGCTTCGGCGGGAATGGCGGAAGCCCGAGCTTTCTCCTTCTCTCCTGTTGCGCCCGCTTTCCCGCGCGGAATTCCTCCGCGCGCGGTCGAAACTCCGCCGCTTCCGCCGCCCGTCCGCGCCCGGTCGTCGTTCTCCGCCCGGGCAGCCGCCCATTAGCGTCTCCGGGCAGAAGAAAAAGAATGCCGGCTGTTGTGACCGTGTCCATTGGCGGAGGTTCGGGGTTAGGTATGGGAGAGACAGGTTCGGCAGTAGGCTCGGCATGGGTCAATGCAGGTTCGGCAAGGGAACCAGCAGGCTGGGTGAAGGCGAGGGGAAGCACAGTGGCAGCAGCAACTGCTGTCTCATTGGCTGGGGACGGATCGAATCTGTACAGTGACGTATCAAATCTGGGAGAGCCAATTGCGGAACAGGACGTGCTGACTCAGCAACAGCAGGGGAAGAAAAGCGGAGCAGCAGCAGCAGCAGCAGCAGCAGCAGGGGGAAAGGGTTCGGTTGACAAAGGGAGAGAGGTTAGAGACGACGGGGAGAGTGAAGGAGGGAGAGAGATGGTGGGATTGGAGGGGGTATTGGAGCGAATGAGGAGGGCAGTGCGGATAGAAAGCCTGGCAGAGGGCGCACACGTGCATGTGACAGGTAATGGGATGCGATAACATGTGGGGGTGGAGGGGGTGCTGGAGTGTAGTGAGGAGGGCTGTGAGGATAGAGAGCCTGGGCGCTGATGCACACGTGCATGTGACAGGTAAGCGTGACATCTCGATGCAGCAGTTTACATGACCCGTTACGAGTCATGACTGGAGTTCCCATCTCTCTTCTCTCTTCTCTCTTCTCTCTTCTCTCATCTCTTTCCTCAAACCCCAACCACTTCTCCAAACGGCCAATCCCGTCCCGTGCCGCCAGGTGTGCAGTCGCTGATGGGCATGGAGGGCACGTGGCAGCTCCTCGTGTCGCCAGCTGGCGGCCGATTCGTAGAGTCGTTTGTCGGGCGGCACATCTGGAGCGTGTCGGGTTTCGCCGGCCAATCAGACACCAGCGAATCCGATACCGAATCTAGTGCTTCGTCAAGTAGCTCATCCGATATCATATCAGATAGCTCGTCTGATAGCTTATCGGACGATGCACTCGAAGATTCAGTCTGCCGCCCGGAAATGCAATCTACTGTGTGGGACGTGGATACGGCCGGGCGGGTATCTTCGTTGGATCTGGACGACCACGAGGTGTATCTGCTCTCCGTGTGGCTGCGCTCGTCTCTTTGGCTGCTGCCGCCCGTCGCCAGCTCAGCACTTGAAATAAGAGCAGTGGGCGGCGAAGAGGAGATAGGGGAAGGTGGATTGGTCGTTGGCATTCCGAATGGGATGAGAATGGAGATTGATGCACACGTGGCAGCTGATGATAGGGTCATCTTGGCGATCAACCTGATTGGCCGAGAGGTGCGTTCTGGCCATGGTGGTTATTTGAGGCGCCTGATATTTCTTCATTCCCCTTCCTAACGCCATCCACCTCCCCACATGTGGGTTTTTAGTCGCTTTTCTTTCCTCTGCCCCCTTCCCAACCTTTCCCGTTTCCAGATAAACATGTACATAGCCGGCCGTGCATAATCCCCTCTCTTTGAGTCACGTTCCCTTGTCCTGCCATTCCACTGCCATTCCACTCATTCCCCCCCTCGCAGGTCATCATGTATGTGGCGGTGCATCGCTCTGATTGGCTGCCAAGGGTAGCAGTGGTGAAGGCGTACGGGGCACTTGAGACATTCACCTTCACTCAGTGGGCGCCTGTAGCGGTATGGCTGTAACAGGGCTGTAGCTGTGGGATTGTAGCGGTGTGGTTGTAGCGGCATGGCTGTTGCGGCATGGCTGTAGCGGCATGGCTGTAGCGGCATGGCTGCAGCGGCATGGCTGTAGCATTGAAATTGTAGCACAAAGACGGCTCTGCCATCTGCAGTTCATATGGCACTGACTCTCCCACTTACCTGCTCATATAGCAATAAGGCCTCCACAGCCCACCTTTCCTCCCTCCCCTTTCCTCCCTCCCCTTTCCTCCCTCCCCTTTCCTCCCTCCTCTTCTGCCCCTTTCCTTCCCCCAGCCCGACTGCCCGTTCCTGCTGCCCGCTACAGTGCACAGATCCACGTCAGCAGGCGCGCAGCAATCTTTTTCATCTGCCCGAACCTCCTTGTTGCCGCCCGGCCCGGCCCACATCCTGCTACATGAGAAGGAAGCTTCCGATTCTGAATTCAATGAAGCTTCTGAGGAAGCTTCGCCCTTCTCATTCTCATACGACATACCGGGGTCTCAAACTGTCCCCAGCCCATTGAGCTGCTTCCCGGAAGCTTCCTTTGATGAAAGTGCACCGGCTGAGGTGGAGCTGTTTCAGTCCAACAGCGGGCATTTGCTGGTGCGGCCACGGATCAACGGCCAGGATGTTGGGTAAGTGATTGATCAACGGCCAGGATGTTGGGTAAGTGATTGATCAACGGCCAGGATGTTGGGTAAGTGATTGATCAACGGCCAGGATGTGGGGTGAGTGAACATTGGGCACGAATCAACGGTTCATGATATGGTTTGAGTGATCAGCGGGCATCTGCTGGTGCAGCCACGGATCAACGGTCAGGATGTTGGGTGAGTGATGATCAACGGTCAGGATGTTGGGTGAGTGATCGATTAGGGTGTGCGTTTCACAACCCCCTCTCACGTCTTCCTCCCTTTCGCACCACACCACCCACCCCACCAACTATTTCATTCTGGATTCGGGTGCAAGCTGCGTGTTTGAAGTAGTGTTTTGAGACGTCTTAAAACACTACTTCAAACACGTCACCACACCACCCACCCCACCAACCAGCTGACTTTTGAGTCGACTCATAAGTCAAAACCATCACCCCACCAACCAGCTACTTCATCCAGGATTCGGGTGCAAGCTGCTTTACCACTGCACCCGCAGCGGCTAACCGCTTAGCTTAGCTTTTGGACTGTCCTTTTCAAAGGGAGGAGCCCGGTTCTGGATGTGTGCACACCGTGACAGTGCCCAGCCCACCACTCACCACCCCTCTCTGTCACATCTCTCCCTCTTACCACACACACCCTGCCCTGCCTGCAGCTACTTCATCCTGGATTCAGGTGCAAGCTGCTTCACCATCGAGCCAGCAGTGGCGGATGGGCTAGGCCTGTCCAGCTTTGTGACAGTGCATGGCCTCTCCTCTCATACCCACCCCAACCACCTCCACCCACCCCCACACCCCTGCCTGCAGCTACTTCATCCTGGATTCGGGTGCAAGCTGCTTTTCATTCGAACCAGCAATGATGGCCTCTCCTTTACCCAACCCCAACACCCACACCCACCCCACACGCCCCCCCAACCAGCTACTTCATTCTAGATTCAGGTGCAAGCTGTTTCACAATCGAACCAGCTGTAGCAGACGGGCTGGGGCTATCGAGCTTTGGGTGTGTGCACACAGTGACAGTGCACGGGCCGGCAGAGTGCGCATTCAGACGCGCGGACTCGGTGCAACTTGGGCCGCTCTCCATCGCCAATGCACTGTTTGTTGATGTGAGTGAGACAACCGTTGCACATGGGGAAATGAGTACTTATGAGACATGGGTGCGTGCACACAGTGACAGTGCACGGGCCGGCAGAGTGTGCATTCAGACGGGCAGACTCGGCTCAACTGGGTCCTCTTTCCATCGACAACGCGCTTTTCGTTTATGTGAGTGAGGCAACCAACACACACACACACACACACACACACACACACACACACACACACACACACACACACACACACACACACACACACACACACACACAGTGATATGAGAACTTAGAGGCATGGGTGTGTCTGTGCGTGCACACAGTGACAGTGCATGGGCCGGCAGAGTGCGCATTCAGACGCGCGGACTCGGTTCAACTGGGTCCGTTTTCCATCGCCAATGCACTCTTTGTTGATGTGAGTGCGACAACCATCGCTCATGGGGGAATGAGTACTTATGAGACATGGGTGCGTGTGTGCACACAGTGACAGTGCACGGGCGAGCAGAGTGTGCATTCAGATGTGCGGATTCGGTGCAACTGGGACCGCTCTCCATCGCCAACGCACTCTTTGTTGATGTGAGTGAGACAACGCACACCGCCCGCCCGCACACAGTGATGTAAGATGACAATCACTGCGATTCTCCCTTGTCCTGGAGTGAAGCTGCTGCTGCTGGTGGTGGGTAACTGCAGCTGCAACGTGTTTCATCCCTCACATACTAGCTTTAACGACTCCCTTGCTTCCATGACGCATTTGTGCTTTCACACACTCTCACAATGGCACCAGGTGGGAGGAGCAGCGCTGGTGCAGGGGGTGAAGCCGGCGGTGGGTATCTATGGCTATGCAGGTGTGTTTTGAGTCGACTCAAAACACACGCGGTGGGTATCTATGGCTGTGCTTCCAATCCAACAAGCGTGCTTCTCATTTCCCCCCATCCTCACATGTTTCCCACCTATTCCTCATGTACTCTCTCTCATACTCCCGCAGGTGGGAGGAGCAGCGCTGGTGCAGGGGTTGAAGCCGGTGGTGGGGATCTGCGGCTACGATGTGTTCAGACACGCCGTTGTGCACGTGCAGGTGAGAAGGCATGCGAGGGGTGTGAGGGTCATGTGAGGGGTGTGAGGGTCATGTGAGGGGTGTGAGTGGCATGTGAGGGTGAGGGCATGTGAGGGTGAGGGCATGTGAGGGTGAGGGCATGTGAGGGTGAGGGCATGTGAGGGTGAGGGCATGTGAGGGTGAGGGCATGGGCAGGAGAGGCTGATACAAGAGTGTCGTAAGTCTGAATAATGCCACTGTGAGTGAGACTGATAAAGGAAGCTTCATGACTCAAAGTGGCAGCTTCAAGGCTCTAAAAGATGGACCCCAAAATAGGCAGCAAAATAGGCGGGTATCTTCGTTGCTCCTCCTCTCTCCCCCCCACCATTTGCCACATCCACACAGGCACGGGGGAGACAAGGGATCCTCCGGCTGTACAAACCCCAAGAAACACCTGATGCTCCCAAAGCAAGCAGCAATGCAACAGCAGGCAGCACAGAGAATGGCAGGAGCGGGGAGGCGGACAGATCTGAAACAGGGCTGGTGCAATCCGCTGCTGCCTTTGCGGATGGATCCGCAGCAAATGCTCCTGTGCCTCCTGGTGTTGCCATGGCACAAAGACGGGGGAGAGGAGGGGCGAGAGGGGGAGGCGGGGCAGGAGGTAGGGCAGGGGGAGGTGTGGCAGTGGTCTCTGCTGCTCTGGTGGGAGGCCACCCTTCCATGCCTGACCTTGGGGAAAACATCTACTGGGAGGTGGGTGGATACTGGGAAGTGGATGGCTGTTGGTGTAAGGTTTCTCGGTGGTTATTGTAAGCAGTGACTGTCGGCTCTTATTAACTCTGCCTTCTGATAAAAGAGATGTTTTGAGACGTCTCAAAACAAGGTTTCTCGGTGGTTATTGTATGCAATGACTGTCGGTTCTTATTTATTCTCCGCCTTCTGCCCGTTCACCCCGTTCACCCCCGCCCACCCCTCTCCCCTCTCTCTCTCGCCCCTTACAACCCCTTCACACCCCTCTCAGCCGCTGCGCATGCTGGGAAGTGTGCCTCACATCGCCATCTCCTTTCAAGAGCACTGGGACTCCCCTCCCACTTACTGTGTGCCCTCACACCCCCCCCTTGCCTCGCGCACCCCTCTCAGCATTTACGCATGCTGGGCAGCGTGCCTCACATCGCCATCTCCTTCCAAGAGCACTGGGACTCGCCTCCCCACTCCGGCCTCTTCTCCTCGACACGGGAGCAGCCGGGGTGGACATAATATTCAACACTCTCTTTGTCACCTTGTACCTCCCAACCCCTTCCTGCTCCTCTCTCCCCTCACAACCCCTCTCCCGCCCTCACATCCCCACCAGCCGCTGCGCATGCTGGGCAGCGTGCCTCACATCGCCATCTCCTTTCAAGAGCACTGGGACTCGCCCCCCCAGTCCGGCCTCTTTCTCCTCGACACGGGAGCAGGAGGGGTGGACATAATATTCAACGCTCTCTTCTGTCATCTTTTTCCTCCCAACCCCTTCCTGCTCCTCTCTCCCCTCACAACCCCTCTCCCGCCCTCACATCCCCACCAGCCGCTGCGCATGCTGGGCAGCGTGCCTCACATCGCCATCTCCTTCCAAGAGCACTGGGACTCGCCTCCCCACTCCGGCCTCTTTCTCCTCGACACGGGAGCAGCCGGGGTGGACATAATTTTCAACGCGCGGGCGGTGGAGCGCTGTCAGCTGGGGAGGAGGGCCAAAGGGGGGGACAGCTGGCTTAAGGGCATGGGGGGCGCAGGGGGGGGCGGGGGAGGAGGACAGCAAATGACGGTGAGTGTGTGTGTGTGATTGTGTGTGTGTGTGTGTGTGTTTGTGTGTGTGTGTGTGTGTGTGTGTGTGTGTGGGAGGGTGTCTCTGCGAGCGTGTGGGAGACTGTGTGGGGCTAAGCCCTCATAGGAGCAGCAGGGGTGGACATAATATTCAACGCGCGGGCAGTGGAGCGCTGTCAGCTGGGGCGGAGGGCCAAAGGGGGGGACAGCTGGCTCAAGGGCATGGGGGGCGCAGGGGGAAGGGGAGGAGGAGGACCACAAATGATGCTAAGTGTCCTGAGTTTTTCAGTCTGTGGGTGTGTGTGTGTGTGTGTGTGTGTGTGTGTGTGTGTGTGTGTGTGTGTGTGTGGGTGGGTGGATGGATGGGTGTGAGGGAGTGTGTGGTTGACTAACTGTGCCCGTGCCAGCAGCCCTGACCCCTTCTCTTCCTGCTACTCGCTCCCATCCCATGCAGGTGCGGCAGGGCAACCTAGCAGTGGTGACAGTGGCAGGGCAGCAGCTCAAGAACGTGTCAGCGCTGTTCTCCTGAGCTTGTCCCCCTTCCTTCTCCCATCCTCTCTCCCCCCGCAATCCAGGTGCGGCAGGGCAACCTGGCAGTCGTGACAGTGGCAGGGCAGCAGCTCAAGAACGTGTCAGCGCTGTTCTCCTGAGCTTGTCCCCCTTCCTTCTCCCATCCTCTCTCCCCCCGCAATCCAGGTGCGGCAGGGCAACCTGGCAGTCGTGACAGTGGCAGGGCAGCAGCTCAAGAACGTGTCAGCGCTGTTCTCCTGAGCTTGTCGCCGTTCCTTCTCCCATCCTCTCTCCCCCCGCAATCCAGGTGCGGCAGGGCAACCTAGCAGTCGTGACAGTCGCAGGCCAGCAGCTTAAGAACGTGTCAGCGCTGTTCTCCACAGCAGAGCAGGGAGCCTTGGAGTTGTCGCAGTACACTAGCGGATTGATATGCCGCAACCTACTCTCCAAGTTTGACCTTATAATCGACTATCCTGGGCTTCGAGTTGGCCTCATTCCTCGCTCTTCCCGCATGTCCAAGCTATAGAGAGCTGTGCGCACTTGATCAGTGTTACAACATGCTTGCTCTTGTTCTCTGCTCTCTGTAATATTTTGTTTGTTTATTACTTGATGCCGCAGAATTTGATTGCCACATACTCTCAGTACCTGCAGGGTTTAGGGTTTTAGACCCTAAACCTTCAACCAGAGAGTTGAGATGCCCCATGCAGTAGTCTGTTTATCAATCATCTCACCTGCGAGCTCTGAGCGGATAAATGTGGGAAAGAGGACAGCCTTTATATCTGCAATAAGGATTGGGTAACCAACCAGCAGATAATAGTGATAAACGCTGACAGTGGACTGAGCTGAATTCGGTAATCTCTCTACTAGCAGAAACCCCATTGAATGGGCTACAGAAGGCTGAGGTACCTGACTATTGACAATGAATGACGTCCCGCTGCTGATAATTATTTTTTTCACTACTTCAAACTTAGCGCTTAAGTACTACTAAGAAAAACTAAGTGTCATCATGACTTAGCTATCAGGGAAGTTCTCGCCTCCGGTGTACGTCTGGTTGACCTGCCACGAAGCCGGAATCACGTTCTTCAGAACAAGAACCTTCCCATTGAAGTTCGTCGTCACGCGCAGCGTCATCGCTTGCCCGCCAACCTTGATATTGTTCAGCGACCACGTGGTTCCGAAGTTCCTGACAAGCGGCTTGAATCCGCCGCTACCGGGCAGTTGCGCTTCGATCTTGGAAATAGTTCCCGGTCCCGCGACGTTCAGAGGGAGAAGGTTGATAAACCAGTCATTCCCCATAAGAACCTTGAATTGAATCCCACCCTTGCGAGGGCAAGGCACGCGCGAAACTCGCACGGCGATGTCACCAGCATTTCGCGTGGTTACAATCTGATCGTAGACGCTGGGAGGCAGCATGATGGACTTTTTGGGAAGCTGGCACAGGCCGCCGTGAGTTTTGTTGCCCTTGCAGTGGTTCGTGACTGTAACGGTGGCGGCATTCCCGTTGCATCTCTTGTTCTTCACGCACTTGATCGCCACGCACGCGCCGCACGTCTGGCCGTTCTCGTACAGAATAGAAGACACCGCGCTAGTAGCAGATCCGATACCGGTGTTCACCGTGTTGCCGTATCCGCAGGCGCCTTGAGCAAGACCGCCTTCAGAGGGAGAAATTGTCGCGATGTAGCCGCTATCCCACGTGTTGAACACCCCCTGGTTGATCTTAGCCCGCGTCGGCTTTCCTGGCTTCTTCGGTGGCTTTGTAGCGGCAGGGGGAGTCGTGGTTGTTTTCGGCGCAGGCGTCGTTGTTGCCGGTGTGCCGGCAGCAGAGGCCAAGGCCACCAAGCACAGAGCCAAGACTAAGGATACAACAGCAGACGTGGACCGTCTAGCCATCGTTAGGGGCTTAAACTGGAATAGACTTAGCAGTCCAAGGCGGAAAGAAACCACAAGTTCTGTCGGGAAGCTCTGGAGTGACGATATGTGATCCTGGACCGTGGAAACGAAATGCCAACTCAAGCAATAAAGTAACAACGAGGAGTGGTTCTGCTTTTCAAATGGGGCTCGAAAAGACTGATCTGGGGCCCGCTGTTTGTGGGGTCGGGTCACCACCGCCAGCCGCACCGTCAGCAGCAGAGGACCCATTAGCGCGTAATCTGCCGAAATGCGGCGAGAAGTAACCAGCGGAAGTGGCGGGCATTGGAATTTGGGAGTCAGGAGGGACAAGGACAAGGCGTGGCGTGTCGCGCTGTAGCACCCAACCTTGAAATTTGCCGTGCGGTCAGGGAAGGTTTTAGTTGCGGCCGCGAGTGGTTTGTTACGGTTCTGGTTAGGCCAATGTCGAATTCGAGAGTCCGTTGCGGTGCGGAGAAATTCGTGCTGGCGGGAACTGGGGTCAAGTGTGTACTGGCGGCTTGAATGTGGTAAGTGAATCTCTTTGACGCGTATCGAGTGGTCTTTGACACTTTATCTACTTGGATCATCATCCTCATTTACCTAAAAGGTGGTCCTGATATATTTCTCATTATTTACCTAGTACGAATAGTGTGTCAGCTTAACCGGTACTATAGAGGATACCATGGATAAAAAAATACACATGCATATTATGATATATACATTAGAAGATGTGTCCATATGCAATATTGAAAACCCCAAAGACAAGATATACCAATATGGTGATAACATGTTCAACATACAACCTGATGATAATAGGTTCAATGATAAAATTTGTCAAAGGCAACTTCATCAATAGGAATCAAACATTGGAAATTAAGCTTTGACATTATACTTGTTCTGTAAGAATTTACAAATCCTTATTGAGGCACTCGTTAGCGAGGAAATTCCGAGGGTCACGCGACGAGCCTGTCTTGCCAATTTCGTCGCACCGAACCACCCCCGAGTCGGCCTCCGCTCCAATCGCAACCATCACCGAGCCATCCCATCCCGAACCCCCCGCCTAGCTAGCTTTCCCCCTATTTAGGCCTCCCTACTTCATTGTTTCTTCATTCAGTAATTCAGTAATTTCCATTCTCGTTATTCGTTTTACTGCGCACTCTGCAAGTTGATTCATAACACCTTGTATCAGAGCTACTTTCCTAGCTCACCCCGCTTTTAAGAGTGTAATATCCCTCAAAGGGGGGGGGGACGAAGAAGGATGTCTTGGGGTCCAGGAGTTGCGTAGGCCGGCCAGGAGAACGAGTTAGTTGCTCTTCGCAGCCATAGTTTTACGGGTACTCCTTCGGCACCGCCAGATCCTTGCCTCGAACGGTCGGGATCGACCGTAGCCTCCTAAACCCCCGGGCAACGGACATCTGTAGCTGTCGCGACATTAAACGTGCGTTTCTATTCCGCTGCGGTTTTAACGACGGTTTCGGAATTTTGTGAGGCAGCTGGCGTCAGCGGACCTGCGTCGGCACCTGCACGAAATTTGCGGAAGTCGTCAGCGTGTGTGGCAGTTGACGCCGTCGGACCTGGGTGAACAGTTGCGCGGCAACTTCGGAGTCGTCCCATGCGGCAAGTGACAACGGTGGCTCGTCATCATTTTGCACGCGTGACTCACGGAGTGTGTCTCGGCAGCTGGCGACAAGGGACGTGCGTCACTGTGGCGATAATTTCGGAGCTACTGTGGAGAAAAAGTCGGATGGGGAACTCGCCAGGCGCAAATGGAGTTCTGTGTCCGAAAATATCGGTGGACGAGGAGAGACGACACGCGAACTGCCCAAATTATGCGGGGTCAACTGCCGTCCCGCCCGACCTGAAGTGCAGCGACTTTTACTGCATGGCGGGCGCGTCATCGAATATTTCGACAAAAGTGCTCGTGGACAGACGGGACTTCAGACTCGCGACACTTACGAGCTGCAACGAAAAGCGGAGTGGCCATATCGCACTTAGCAGAAGTGGGACGCAGGCGGCGAGGGAAGTCGAGGCAGGTACACCTCGGAAACAACTCGTGCGACACTGCGTGCCTGGTGTTGTTGCAAGCTGGCCGGTAGTATCGAGAGCGGTTTCTCCTGACCAGGGAATTCGTTTTCGGGGACAGCTGCTGACAGCCCACGATTAAACGGTGTCCATGGTACCGCCCGACAATTTCGGTACAGGCTGCCGAGACACACGGGCAGAAACGGTCCAATGGCTAAGCGAGGGTTGAAGAACGTCGTGGGGAGCAGATTAAAAGCCGGTGGAATCGATCTGCGGCCCTACTTCGCCCGAACCTCACCATCCCCACCAAGTCCTGGTTCTGACTCATGCAGTCAACCTACTTGGCCGAATAACGGGGGTGAACACGTGCCTACCCTGTGCTGGTTAAGGCACCTGGATTGGTGCTCGTTCGACAGCTGTACATAAAATACAAAAAAGAGTGGAGTTCGCGGCACTGTTCTACTCCGACAAAAGCGGGCTGGGTGAACGGCACGCGAAAAAGTCGGAGAGCTGCGAGGATAACATCGGTGCAGTTTACAGGTTTCTCCTGGCCCGGGCGTCTACACACGAGGTGACGGCGCAGCGGCGAAGCTGAGACCGGGAAGCTGTGAAATTTTAGTGGCGTGATAGGCACGGCGGGCTGCAAAACGGTTGGGCGATAGTTTCCTTTTAACTAAGGCTACCCCGACTCCGATAGTTTTTGCCTCTCCACCGGGGCCGAGTTCGCGCGGGCAAAAACGACGATACCTCATCCGACAAAAGCGGACGCTGGGTGAACGGCGAGAAGCGGAATTGTCGGGGGGTGAATACGAAAAAAATGACGACGGAGGGAAAGTTGTGGGTGATCCAGCAGATCACTTGAGTGAGAGGTTGAGCCCGTGCACCAATCCACCGCGAATTTCGGAGTCTATTCGGTAGACCCCCGAAAGGGTTTGATATTGTTACATGGAGGCGCGGCGAGCGGTACATTGCCAATCATACCTGGGATTCACTAAGTGGTTTCGACGGGTATGAAGATGGGTGAAACATCGGAGAGGGAAGTTAACGGCGGAAACGTCGGGGCTACACGGCGGAGAATAACTTCGGGACTGTTGCCTCAACCATGATTTTCGGGTGACTTTTCCTACAAAAAAAAAAAGAGTTGAAGCTGAGGGTGTTTCTTCGCTTCTTGGAGTGCGGTTGAGCCGTTGGGGGACTTCGCCTGAAGGGTCACTTTTAAGTCGCCTGGCAAGAAACACAGCGGCGGGGATACCTAGAACCCACTGATGTTTAAACTTACACCACGGGAAATTCTTCAGTAAAAAGAAGCGTGGGAGCAGCCGAAGTTGTCAGAACATTATAGCTTACTTACTTGTGTAGGCTATAGTGGGGTATCCCATAGGGGGTACAACCCAATTAGGGTTTCCTATTTGTACTCACTTCGTTCATAGTTCATTTCATTCTCGTTCCATTCTTCTCATGGTATCGAGCAGGTTCCCCTCTGGGAACTGTGCTTAGGGCCCACCACTACTTCGACTTTTTTTTCTGCCCGAAGCGCGCTCCGGGCTCTCTCTTTCACGCCCGCGCGCCGCCCGTTCCGGCCCTTAGCCGCCCGCGCGCCGCCCTTTGCAGCCC